AGATGCGCTGCTGACAGGTTTCGGCAAATGTACAACACGTCATATGGACCCACACAATACTTGGGGATCCTCAAGGAACCGAGATGGGGTCCGATATGGGCATCAGCAACACAATCAACAAGAATGCCCCTTCTGTATGTTCCTTCCGATACTGCCAATATGATAAAATGTTCAACCAGCAAAACACACGGCCAACCTGCAAAACTCATGGCCCAAACTGCCCTGCAAAACCAGCAAAATGGAAAACACCAGACCAGTTGAGCAATCATCAGCCGGGTTGCTGAAACACGTGACTTGCGCACATCGACCTATTATGATGTTGCATTTGTTTGCTTTGTGTGGCATTGGAAAAACGGACTCACATATTGAATCCCTGATCTCTGTCGGTGAACCAACAAAATATTGGAACACATTTGTTTTCCTGCCTGGTGTGGCTTTGGACAATTGTGTTGAAAGAATCGCGTGTTGAATCCCCGATCCCTGTGGGTGAACAAAAAATACTGTAATGCATGTATTTGTTTTTTGTGTGGCATTGGAAAAACGTGTTGAACACATCACATATTGAATCCCCTGATCCTTGTGGGCACAAAATGAGAATGTAATGAACCAAACAACGGCGGTATGATATGTTGCATTTTTTGATCATGGGTTACACCGACACAGAAAAACAATGTGCAATGAACCGGAAAAAAAACGTGTTGTGATGTGTGTTTATTTGATCATACATTATACCAAAACAGAAGAGAAAACACATCCAATCAACAAAAAATGCAATGTGATATACCAGTTTGTTGTCCTGTGCTGCACGAGACACAGAACACAAAATGCAATGAGTCCAAAAAAAAAGATATATTGCACTATTTTTCGCCATGGGTTATACCAAAACAGAAACCGAACCCTTGTCTGTGGGCTGTATTTTCTTGTGCGATAGGCGCCCCCCAGGAGCACCTAGTTTTGACACCGCCCTTGTTAATCTGGAACGTCCCCCAGACCACTTACGCACATCCCTAACAAAGGTGCGCAAACCCGCACACTCGCTCCCCGGGGCACTGCCCCGCCTGGAACGCCGGGCATCGCCTCTTGCCATCACGCATCACTGCTGTCAGGCGCCGGCCGTTGAGCGAGGCCGGCATTGTGGTTGCTGGCTTGGCTGCCTCTGCCTTGGCTTTGGCTATCCGCTTGAGCTTCTGCGTCAGGGCGAAGCGCTTCTGAAGCTCCTTGGGGCGTGGGGGGGCCGCCCACACCACCTGGGCGTCCCGCGCCTTGGCCTGGGCTGCCGCCGCCTGGCCAGCCTGGGCCGCCTCCTGAACCTCTGCCGGCGGTACCAACTCCCAGGATTCGTGGTGGGTCAGAGCCGCCACCGCTCCCACCATCCTGTGCTTGGCCAACAAGGACGCCGCGTACTTGGCCCCGCTGTAGTGCAATGGCATGCGAGCATCCTCCGGGACGTCACCTTTGGTCTGCCAGTCGCCCAACGCTGCCATGTCGAGGGCGCTAAACCCCACCAGTTGGCCCACCGTTGTACCAACCCGCCGGAACGAGTATGACGAAACCATCGCCGGGTTCTCCACCAAGTCCGCAAACTCGTGCCGGACCATCCGGTAGACATCGGACAGCGACCACGGGATCCCCTCCCGACGGAACGCCAGCCCGCTGCCTTCTGCTTCTCCGGCACCAGGGCAAAGTCATGGAGCGCCGACCAGTCCCACCCGGTTGACAGCTGTCCGGGCACGCAGAAGTCGAAGCCCTTGCGCAGTCGCCGTTGCTTCCCTTTGCTGCAGTGCGCATGGACCGTCGACATGGTCACCTTCCGCACCTCCACCCGAGTGAGGTGCTTGTGGCGTAGAACTCCTCCATAGAGCATCCACGCCGCCAGCAATGCTTGCTCCATCCGCTGCTCCATCTTCAGCAGCATCACCGGTTCCACCACCGCTGCCTGCCCCCTGGGCCCTGCCCGACGCGCCTGTCCCGCAGGCGGCGTGAGCATGCCCAACCCCAGATCCACCCTCGCCTGCTTGGTCAGCCAGCGCAGTGATTGGGTAGCACGGGCCGGGGCAGCTGTTCCTTCGTGGAGGAAAACATCAAGGTCGACCACTTCCTGGTGGCAGCGGCCGAGAACGCGCCTGCATGAAGGCGATCACCTCACCCCATGTGCGCAAGGCATTCAACACCGTGGCCCTCTCCGCCTCCGTCACCAGCCGCTGCGCCAAACGAGTACATGATCCTTTCCACTCGCGCCGCAACTGCTCCGTCAGGACTCCTGTCGGCTTCATCGCTCCCATGTCCTGCAGTGCCTCGCCGAGTCGTTGGACCTGCATCGTGATCGCCTCCGGTTCGTCTTGAACTGCTCGAAGGCGTACCGCCGGAGCCCTCGAAGGCCGAGGGGCCAGAGGCCGAAAAGGAAGATGAACAGCCGTCCCCCGGCTCTCGCCCTCCACCACATCAGCCGCGGCCGGCAGCAGCTCGGACTCCTGGGCGCTACGCACCCGCACCCACGAATTGGCCAGGTCCCTGCCGCCTGTAGTCAGCGCCTCCTCGAACGAGTGGAAGGCGAACGCAAAGTCCGCATCATTCTGCAGCCCGTGCTCGCGCCTCCACCTGGCGGTGTGCTGGGCGCCCACCGCCCCCAAAGCCGACTCCGGGTCCCACTGCCCCCCGGCGTCCCCCGCCAGGCGAGCGTAGATCCCGGTCGGTACAGCTGCCATGGCGCTAAGGATCCCCCAGAGAGACCAAATGGCTGAGGCATTCCTCGCAGAGTGGCCTGTCCCGGATGACGTTCCGTGTGAGGGCACCACGCCAAGAGACACGGCCTGCCTGCCACCTCCTCCACGCCCAGAAGACGGCCTCCCGATCGAGGCCACACTCCTCAAGGCCGGCCAACTCCACATAGCCAATGAAGCGCGCCATGTGCTCGGGGACCAGCTGCTGCACTCGCATGCCCGAGTCAACGGCCCGAAGCTGATCCTCATCCAGGTAGTCCCGGCCCGCATAGTACAGGTCCCAAGCTGCCTCCGGGCCAACCTCTGCTTGAACCAGGACTGCGCGTTTGGTCCAAATCCCGAGCCACGGGAACTGGAACCCCCCACGCATGTCTGTGCACCTAGCACACCCTGCCACCATGCAGGGGACCTCCCGCAACGACCCCAGGGAGGGAATGCGAAACTCAGAGGTCTCGGTTGGGGGGAGGTGCACAACCACCACAACTGCCCTCCACAGCCAAACGGCCTGGTCCCGTTCCCCACGGGCCAGCAGTCCTCGCACGTAGGCTTCGAAGTCCAGGAGGGCCGCCGGGTGCAACATCCGCGCCTGACAATGGGCCACCAAAGGGCCTGCATCGGCGCCAGACATACCGGAGTCCCACTCCAGTCAACAATGTAACGAAACCAAAAAGGTGTCTGCCAATTTGGCTCAGTCTTGATCCAAAATGGCAGACCCATAACAATTGATGATACATGTTCACCCAATGCCTGCCAAGCTCTAAACATGGCATATATATATATATATGCGGTCCTCATGGCTCTTGCGCTGCGTGAAAGCAGGAGGGAGTCTTTGACAATGAATTGGGTATTTGGACCAAGCCTGGTCCGTTCAGCGATCAAACGTGGGCAACGCGGGCGACCAGGTTACGCGTGGTTGGCCCAACCCTACGCAGAGTTCGCATGGCTCGGAGTTTGTAGTTCCGTTTAAACAAATACACCCCACCAAAGGAAGCTCACTTTGAACAGGTAATGCCAAAGGGCGATGCTGAAAAATACCCCCAAAACACGGGACCCCGGAAACATGCTTTGGGTTGCACGTATGTTACAGGCTACTGGAGGTGTCTCAAAGTGGGGCAAACTGTGGCTTCGCAGTTTGTCAAGCGGCTCTCCAGCCGGAGCTCATGGAGCGAGGACAGCATGGGGCAATTGGTCCAAAGCTGCCCAGGGTCCGATGACGTGCTCATTTGTGTCATGCTTCTTGTGCGCTCGAAGGTTCCAGAAGGGCGAAATTGGGTCGAGGGTACCCAGAATCTCAGTCAAAATATTCGCCTGCTAAAAGAGAAGGACATGGGACAATTGGGGCGTCCCCCTGGATTTTGTGAGGAAATTGGGTTGCCCCCAGCATGACTCTACCCAAACATTGTCACTTGCTCACATGATTCCTGATGTTCAGCTGTCCAATTCAGGCGTAAACATTAGCAACAATTCCTGAGCTACAGAATATGTTAAGTATACGGGAACGGGAACATGATCAGGATTGATTTTGCTTCATGCTAACACATGAGAAAATTAACATGGAACCCGAACAAAAACATCAAGGTCGTCGGAAAGTTTGACAAATGCTTGGAAATAGTTTCCTCTACACGGTCGTCAGACAGGTTTTGCACACTCAAAAGAGGCTGCACGCTGATCAGAGTGCAAGCTTGCCGTGTCTGCCAACATGATGTACATGCATGGGATTCAAATTTATTGCCCTTGCTGAGCGCGGGCTGGGTTGGTATACATATGTCCGATAAAGGTTTGCCTGTGCCGTATTGTGACTGTCATCAAACGGATCAGTGCACGTGGGTGACATGTGTAGAGCTCTAACACCTCCTTGAGCCAACATGCGGTCACGAACCACAACGTACCCAATCTACCAGAGAAAAAGCCAGAGTAGACAGCTGCATTCATCACACGTCGCGCGTTGCCAGCTTGTACCATTTCTCCTCATGTCTGCGACCAAACAAACGGCGCAACGTGCTGTCAAACATGCAAGGCGCATCATTCATCACCCACAACATCTTGTCTGATCTTCCCAACCACTGGCATGCTGGCAAAGCAGCATGTTAGCAACAGAACACATGAGCGGAATCAAACACAAAGACACGAATCGACACATACATCAAAACTCCTTATTCGAGTCATGACCGTGGCTCCCTTTGTAGGACCTGCCACTTGCTTGTCTAGAACCCCTGGAGCTTGATGACCATCCCTACCAACCCCAAACACTGCGACCTGCGGTCTCGCTTGCCAAGGCTCTTGAGGATCTTGGAGGTCCTGTCTCACCAAGCCAGGGTTGGGCCAACCCCCTTTTCTAACATTTTCACATGGGCCGTGGGCTATTTGTTGAACCCATTTTGCCCAACCCTGCAAGTATCCCCAACCGCGCGCGACCATCCCCACCTTCAATCGGCTGAAAACAGCGCCCCGCTCCATACTTTGTTCCCCTGCAGAGTAACATGGAACCCAAACACCCTCCGTGTTCCTAGGGCTTTTGGGAACCCCCCTTTTGGGTCATGTTCATTTACAGAGAAGTGTCCTTTGGGTACGACGCTGTATTCGGGGTATGTTCGTCCCCCTTCCATTTGCTCTGCGGTCGGGGATCCCCCACAGACCGTTCCCAAACGGTTGGCTTGCTCAGCCTTTGTCTCAGATGCTGAGTGGATTGGTCAGCAAAAAGTCCGGACTGTTGGTTTACGGTGGACATACTTTCTTGCCCGAAGCGTACATAGTTCCGAAACTGGGGAAGTCAGGATGAAGGCCGCAGAAGGCGCAAAACAAGGCCAAGGCAATATTGTCATGTTTGCGCACCGCTAAGGCCTCCTCCAAAGGCATACGGAGTAGACTGATTCTAAGGTCAGGTCAAACAAAATTGTTGCGGCTACGTGCTGAAATTTGGGATTCCTATTGGTCACACTGAGAAAGGACTCCGGAAATTGAACGGGCGGTCCTCAAGAAAAACAGACTCACATGTGGCATGCTGAAAACTCCCTTGCAGGCCACGGTCATACGGTCATGGTTGCGATAGAAATGTTATCGTGGTTATCTTATATCTGTAGGTACCCATGACCATCCCTGCCAGCCCCAAGTCAAGGATCCGGTTTGACAATCGCACACCTGCAAAGAGGCGCCTTGCCGTGCTCAAAGGGAATATGATCGGAATATGCTATGCTCGCAGCTTTGCTCTCCCCCGCATCCAAACAACAAAAACATGTCAGAAAGAGGGTCTGAGTTGAAGAACAACGATCTTCCAAACGGTGCTTTCAGGTTCCCTGTCTGCTTTCGGGAGAGTATCATGTAACCTCCGGTTGCAAAGCCCCGTTGTTGCCGATGATGTCAGTCTGCAGAAGAGAACACTCCAGGTTGTGTGTGTACACGCGTCTTTTGACATACGCTTGAAAAAATGGAAAATGATCTCAAAAGGCGTGCTGATGTTCATACCCCTACCCCAGTGTGGCAACAAGGAAGCCTAGAGGCTAGAATAAGGGGCAGGTATTGCCATGTATGTGCACTCCTGGACTCTCTTCCCCAGATGGGCAAACAAAAAGTAACAATGCTTTTTGCTTGCTACTACAATGGTCTTTAACCAAAAGTGACTTCAGCCCAGGAACTCAGGAAGTGCTTGCACCCAGGTGAAAGTAAAGGGATTGCTAAACCATGGGGAAAATTGCGCCTACTGTCACACAACTGTACCCCCTCAAATTGTGCCCTTTGCAGGCTGGTTTGAAGCCAGCAGGACAGAAACTATTTTGGGAAGCCAAACCTCTTTTGACAGAAATTGAAGTCAAACCTTCCCGGCAACGCTTCAAATGTTACAAGTTGGCTATGATACTCCCTGGCCCGACTTGGACTCCAATGCGTGATGCAAGTCGCCGAGTCGTGAGGGCCCAAACAACTTGACAAGCGATTTGCCATCGTCAATACAGGGGCTCTTACATAATCCACCCAAACCTTGCTCAGTACCCTGGAGTACTGCCAATCTCGCTGCAACAAATGCCCCAGTCCTGTGCAAGTACACGAAGTGCTGCGCCTTGCAACGGCCAAGAATTGACGGAAAGCGAGCAGGAGGCATGCTGACACAAAGCAAGATTCGGGGGCGTTTCTTGAGGGTAGCCTTGTCGGGATTGGCTCGTCCAGGATCATCTTTACCTTCCTAAAAGGGCGCAAATCGCATTCATTTCCTCCAAGAACAGTCCTACTCTGCCTGAGGTTTCATTTGTCAACAAACGGCCCAAATCTGGGATGCACAGCAAACAATATGTCATATTTAGTCCTCCTACAGACCAAGGGTCGAGAAGCCACCTTAAGTGTAGATACTTGGGCCTCATCCTTCGCCGTCTCTTTTCAGGAATCATGTTACTTCCTTTGCCCATCGGGCTTTCGGAACACTGCATTACACGACCTTTTCGGGCGTCTCCAAAAATGTGTTACGTTTGAGGGCTCGTAGGGTCCCTACTGTGTGCCACGGTCCATGGTTGGAGATCCCCAACTTGTTGTGGAGACGTCGCCGCACGTGAATGGAACTTAGCTGTGCGAGTGCTTTCAAAAGCTGGTTGCATCTACCCTACCAGCCAGGAACGGGTAGGGTCCCTTTCTAGGTGCTTCATGTTAGTTGGTGCGAGTGTGGCTCCCATCCAAAACCACTGCACCATTGCTACGGCGCCAAAATTGTTTGAAAGGAAACTGTTTGCATGGAGATGTGGGCAAGCAACATGTAGTCATGCACTCGGGAGACGACGCATTGTTGAGGGTCCTGGAGACTCCAGGTACTAGCGTTAGGGCAAATTACCCACAAGTCCAAGCTTGCACGACAAATTGCAACCCAAATGGTCAGCCTTCATCGCCCATCGGCTGACAACCTCCTCTCTGGCTTGTGTGCAACCTCAAATGATTGACATTGCTACGCGAACCTCTTCCGCGAACCTCTTCCGCGAACCAGGCACCAGTCAATCCCGTCACAACGCCCAGCCGCGCAGCCGCGCGCAGGCCAAGGCGCAGAGCCCCTCACAGAAGGTCCGCGTTTTTGCTGTTAGGCGAAGCGCATGCTGCGGCTCACCAGTCTCTAACCACAGGTGACACCAGTGACTGGTGAAGCCTCTGGGTAAAGGACAACTTCGTATGGTGCCTTCCAATATTGGAGCCCAAACGGGAAAACATACTAGAACCCCATTCCCACCCCCGATCGGACGTGACATGTTGCTGGGGGCCGCGCCGCTTCCTCGATCTTCCCCTCGGCGATTGCTATCGCAGCGCTGGCGGTCAGAAATCAACCCCCGAGGCTAGGCTTTGGGGCTCAAGCCTAAGGCCAAACAAGGCCAAACAAGGCTTTAAAGGTGAGGAGTATTTGTTTTATTGTTTGAGGGGATGGTTGTGAAATCTCAGCGCAACGACGACAAATCATCGCCCACACATCACCACATATCTGTGGATCGTTTCATAGAAAGGGTCCTTTGGTACCTTCTGAGGCTTTGAACAACTTTTTCACGCCAAAACAACAAGCCTCAAAAGGTGAATTGGAACCTTTGGAATATTTCATACCAGTAGAACAACAGACAGCGCTAACTCGTGGAGCGCATCTCCTTGCCAAGCCTTTGAAGCCTTGGGGATTATTGAGGGTTGTTGGGCCGCTGAATAACACTCTCCAGGCAGCTGTAATCGGTATGCCAGAACTGGCTGCAACCAACGGGTTGGCTTCCTTTTCGCGTTTCTTGAATGCCTGCAGCTGCCTACCTGGTCTCGAGGGTCCCTGGCACTTGATACTGAACCCCGAGCGGTACTTGTCTCTGGTCGCTGCCTGCAGGGTCCAAGTACTTTCGTGGAGAAGACGGGACAAGTTTAAGGCAGTAGCCAAAACGATGCAGTCAGCTCGAACGTGGGCAACAGGCACTGATCTAGTCTTTATTTCTGTGACACGCTTGTACTTTCTGGACGCTGAGCCGTTTGAATCTTTGACTCACAAGCAGGCCAAGTTGAGAAGGCAGTGGAGTCGGGCCCAACACAAAAAGTGGCACGGAGCGAAGGTGTAATATAACAAACAGCTGGAATAGAACTGTTTATGCACTGAGTCGAGGGCTCCAATCACCTGCCACAAGTCGCCGCTCTCGCCTGCGGCCCGTAAAGCTGAGGGGCGCCGACAGTCCAAAAAATACCGTTGGCCCGTTGGCCTTTAAAGGTTTGCACCAACATGGCTACAAAGGTTCATATAAGCGGCCCTAGGCCCCCAAGAAACCAGCCGACCAAAATGGCCAAAAGGAGCTTTGGCCTCACTTGGGTACTGCGCACCCCGGATGTTCAACCAACCCCTGGTGTGTAGAGCATGCATACATGCGATGTGACGCCGACCCCCGAAGTTTGATCGACCTTGTGAATGTACATTGGGGGGTGTTTCCCCGCAAAGTGAGGGACTCCCTCTCAAATGGGACACCCCGTAATAATCAATCAGTGGCAGCCATTCAAAGACCGGCCTTTAAGCTCACAAATGATTTTGGAGTATGTTCCAACCATGAGAATTGAGATCATTTAGGTGGGGACGTATGTTCACCAGCCACTTTTGAGAGCGTCCTCAACAAAAGTCATTCCCAAATATACCCAGGTGGTATCCCTAGCAGCCCCCTGTGCAAAAACACCCAAAGCTTTCAGGGGAGCAACCAGCTCGGCTTGACAAGCGGCCGGCCAGGGGCAAGAGGTGGCCTTTCAACAGACCCTTTGCTACACAGGGTTGCCCCAAAACCAAGCAGTTGGAGTGTTTGTCCTAAGGCTCACAACTACTTCAAGAAAGACGGTATTTGGGGGAGTGAGGTGTCCTAGCCAGGTCCATGAGAATCTGAGTATACTGATTCAGAGCTATTGCCAGGGGAGCCATTGCAAACGGTGACCGCAAGTGACTGTTGGAGGGGGCCATGGACCAAGGGTGACCTTCCTCCCCTTGCTCTTGCTGTGAATCAGTACTGGCCTAATGGCCCACGTGTTGTGCCGTTTACTTTCGCCCAACAGTAGTCCCATGTGGCCATGGGTCAAAATCCTGGTTTTCCCCCAGTGAACATCCAATCCCCTCAAAAAAAAACTAAAATGGGTGGAGAATTCACCTACCCCAAAATGGGATCCTGACAACCACAGCCATTCGTGTTGTCTGAGGATACCTTTTCAGGTTGGTCGAACGGCCAACGCCACATCACGCCACCCTCTTCACACTCACAGGCGCCATGTGGGCCACGGCTAAACAAAATATGGCACTCTGGTGGTCTTCCTGTGGTTGTTCAGGGCCCTCGCGTAGAACCCCCCAATCCCAATAGGGGTGAATAGAAACTAAGGCTTATTCGGGGCTAACACTCAATCCTTTGCCTATTTTTGGGGTCCCATCTTGGGGGGGGAAATCTCCTGACAACGGGATGGAGGACCACTTTCGATATGGGTTCCATCGCCTCGCTGGTCCCGAAGACTCAGCCTCAAGGTTCGCAAAGCGACAGCGCTAGAGCTTCCTCTCCCAACCTTTCCAGCATTTGCCGTTTTTTTGTGGTATTGATTTTAATCCTGGCCAATTTGATATGGAACTTTATTTTGCCTGTTGACTGCAACGAAGTGCAATTATCTAGAGCCTTGCAACGCCGTGTATCACCGCCATTTTTGACAGCGTCCTTTCCCTTAATTACAACCACCCAACAAGGGTGCCCAAACAATGCGGGCAAATACATGTTTGTTTGGCGGCTCTACCTTCAGGGATCCAAACTACCACCCCAGAAAGACCCCCGACACCCCAATCGTTCATGCTCTATCTGGCTGCACATTTGGCCTTAATAAGCTCCCAATAGTGCCCGTTTGAAGATCAACCGGCCAAAAGTTAACTTGCTCTAAAATGGCCCCAAAGGTGATACTCCAAACCACCAAAGGGGGAATTAGAAGGAACCCTGTTGCTTGGCCTGCGTCAGGCTTTCCAGTGATATGTTTTTCAACTTTCAGAAAAAAAAGACAACACAAACACATTGCAATTCCTGAAATCCTAAGACCATCCTGCAACTTCTGAAGGCGCTCACAAGGTCGAACACCCAAAGCATGAACCGCCGCAATCCAGTGACTTGGAGGGCACGTTGGGCATGTCGACTTAAGCCAACCCTTGGGGTCTCGAGGGTCTTGGGTCGCTTCCCTGGCACACCTTATTGAGGAAACTTGGTGAAATTCAAACCCAATCGCTCAAACCTAATTTGTTGAGCCACATGCTTCGGGTCTTCGAGGCTGATCACACACTGTGTTCGTAGGGTTGAAAAATGGACCTCCCGACAGAAATCCAGACCCTAGGGCTCAAACAAGCCTTAATAACGAAGGCCAAAGAAGACCTACCATGAGTCTTGGGTGAGCCTTCGACAAAACTACCAGTTTTCTCTGCAGCACACGGGACAATGTGAGTGCCCTGGTCTCTTTTAGGACATTTGGAGCTTTGCCAATGGACATTTGGACCAACCTCAAATGCACCCGGCTTTGAAGGCGAACTGGGGCACCCAGCCAAAAATCGAGGCGCATCTCCGCGTCTTCAGACACGTCCTAAAGGGCAACGGGCGGCCATTAACCAATCAATAGTCGGGCTCTTTAAACTGCAGAGGGGGCAACTGGGCACTCTCTAAACTCAGTTTCTGAGTGGATTCGCAAAAACCAGACCAAACTGTTTATTTGCCACTAAAATTGTTTTCCCAAAGACAGACCAAAGCCCAGTTCAGGGACTGCGGAGATGTGGGAGCGTTTCTCGGTGCCCAACTTCAAATGATCAACTCAGAGCCATAAGGTCAACCAAGCTAACAAACCACATTGCGTTTTTGGTACCCGGGTACCCTTTCACCTTGGGGGAAACAAAAGGAAAACCGAATCCCAAGTTCCGAACCCTTTGACACATACCCCATGGCTCCAAAGAAAGGGGTTCAAATCAACCAAAACCACCGTGTTCCCTTTGAGAACCTCTAGAAAGATGGCCGTTTCCGAAGCGTGAAGCTTGCGAAGCCGCCAGCGGGGAGACCAAAAAGGATACCAAAAAGGACCCTGCTTTTCTGTCAACCTTCAGATGGCCGTGGGTCAAAAATAGGTACCCTAAGTGGAGCCCTGGTAAATGGAACCAAGGACTAAAACCTGCGGTCCCCTGGTCGTTTAATCTTGACCCATACCCAGATCAATCAAACATGAACTTTCGCAAACGGGAGCGGATCATACTGATTTGTTTCCTTCTCCGACTTCCAACCTGTTTCGACCCCTTGCACTGCCCCAGCCCCCAAGTGAGCTGTAGGCCCGAAAACATCTTGTCCTGATCCAAGAGCCCCTAAGCAGTACACAGATGGGCCTGTTGCCCTGGGGATCATTCACAAAGCTGGAGCATTGTTCGTGTTTTTGTGGGTGTTAACTAAGGGGTCTGAAAAAAACAATTACCAATCCCAAGTTGCTTTCCTTTCGGGACAAATTATTCAATATAAGCTATTTAGCGTCCAGGAATTCGTGTGGGAGCAGGCCACTGGGCAAACATCGAGGGACTCGCTTCCTGACTTCTCCAAGCCTGAATGGTACTTCCATGTACTTCCACTAGGCCAACGGGGTCTTTTTGTACCCTTTGAGGATGGATTTTGGGACGTTTAAAGTTTCTTAGGGTACCCCCCCCCAGCTTAAACCCTGGTATAAACAGCTATTGTTTAAACTTTAGTCTAAGCATCATCCTTTTCATTTCCCTTTCTAGCCCAGCTACTGGCTGCCTTAAACAACAATGCCTACCCCTGGATTCCACTAGGACATAGGAATTGAACCAAACTGAAACCAGTGGAACCAATCTGTCTTCCAGCCAAATTGACGTCAACGAGGAAACCCTCTGCCGGATAACCCAACCAAAGGACACTTCCCTTTTTGATAGCCCCTTTCAAAGTGGCCCATCTGATTTTTCCTCGGGGCTGGCTGCGCCAGCCAGAGCTGTTGCATTTGTCGCCCCTTCCATACGCCGGTGAGAAAGCAAAGGCCACGTTTTGCGGAGACATCAGTTTATAGATTGGACCTGTTTCTTTCTCTTCGACTTTCCAGAGTGCACGTTTACAAGAACTACAGAACCTAAAGTAAGGAATCACCAAGACAAGAACCTACATCACGGTGAGCTCGTTTTCCCCCTCCCCGAGTTCGTTGTAGTCTGTCCAAACACATTCGGTTTCCAAAAACCCAGCGCGTTCGCCCGTTGCTCTCGGACGCAGAAACCCCACATCGCCGCCTGAAGCGCGTTGCGCAAGCGGTGCCGCAGGTGGTCACCATCCTAAGCAGAAGACAAAGGTGGCACAGAGGGAAAAAAACAAATTCCGACTGACGGACAGGTCGATTTCCTTTTGCCTTCCATTTAAACAGTGTGGCCATGGGTCAAAATCCAAATCGCACCCCCAGTGAACATCCCAATCCCCGCTAAAATAGGTTCTAAAATGGGTGGTGAATTCAACTACCCCAAAATGGGATCCCATTGGCTTTGACAACCACAGCAATATCCTAAACCTCCACTGGCCACGGGAGAAAAGAGCACGCTGTTTCTCTGGTGGTTGATTTTAAAGGTGTCCCTCTGCCATCCATTTCAAACGATCCCAAAAAAGGTTACAACCCCGGGGAGTTTGTGTGACCCACCCACAGACCAAACCTGGACAACGCCACTTTCCAACATTGAGGGTCCCTACAAACCGCCCATGACCACAAAAGATGTTTTTTTCCAGCTCAAGGCTCACAAGCCTGAGAAGACAAACCCAATGCCCCATGGGTTCCATGTTTCAGGTACCCAAAGCATCCCCGAAAGACGCCTTAATGGTTGCCTTAGCTATCATTGTCGGACTTAGCTTCCCTTTTTAAACGCTTTGCCTTTTGGTGTTCCCTCCATGTGTCCTTTCAACCTGCAAAGCGTAAGTCTTGGAAGGGGTCTTAGTTTGGTTGTATTGTATGGGTCATGTTTGTTGCTGTTGACCGGATGAATCTACCTGCTGGTTTGGTAGGGGTTGCTTGTCCGACAGGATTCCCTCTAACGCTGTTTCTTTGTCGATTCCAGGGCCCACACCAGGCTTCCCCATATTCAAACATCAACCCTCCACGGGAAATGACCTTAAATGGCCTAAAACGGTGATGCTTCAAACCACCAACAGGGGAAATCTGGGGACCCCCCCTCGCCCAATTCCATTTTGGAGATTTTGGAGGGATTGGGTATCCTTTACCTCTCCGAGACCTGCAACAAACCCTGGAGGCTTCGTGCCTGCACCATCATCACCGCCTTTGCCTCGCCTGCGTCGCACAAATCGAAGCGAACGCGCCACAATGGAGGTGGTTTGGTCTTACTCTCTGGGCATGTCCTTTTGTTGGTCCCCTTTTGGGGTGGCTTAAAGGAAACCAGAGGGAAGACACCCTTGTGAAGGGTTCGCTATCCAAGGCAAATCACGCCCTTGGGGCATAAACTCCTCACAGATTCCCTTGAGAAGGAAAACAGTCTATGTGGCATCTTTCCGCAAGATTCGTACGTTTTTGTGAGAGCACTCGACGCCAAGGAAAACCAAATTCCAAAAAATGATGCCTAAGACTACACATCGGAATGTCAAAATCCTTGATTCCAACATCGGAAGTTCATTGCAAACATGTCCACAAACCCGATTAACTTATAACTTGATTGCTCCCTCAACAGAAAACAACAACCATCCCAAAGCTCTTACTCAGTCTCTTAAACAACCCAACTCCAAAAACACCCCTGCAACTCCAAAATACCCCCTGTAACAATGGGCTCGTACACTCAAACGCAAGAGTGCGTATTGGATAATATTTGCAAACGCCCATCTGCAAACCAACCAAGCCTTCAAAACATGTTTTACCTAAAAACAAAAACATAGGGTGATCATGTAACCAGCAACGAAGCCCAGCCATGGGCAGAAACGCCCCCCGTCCCCCGCCGCGTCCGCCGTGCCCCCCACCCGGCCTTGGAGGCGGCGCCGGATGGCGTCGCGGCAGGTGTCCCGCAGGTCCAGCTCGTAGCGCACCAGCGGCAGCGTGCCCGTGACCTGAACCAAAATGACAATCCAAGCCCAGCTGAGCGTGGAAGCCGACAGGTCAAAGGGAGCGCCAAGTCCAGGTCGCAGCCGCTAAAATGTTACAGTACGTATATCAAGCTAAGCCGAATCAACGCTAAACCAACTCGAAACTTAAACTCACACTCACACCGCCCAAGCCAACCCTAAACCACCCGAAACCCTAAACTAACCCTAAAACCACACACCAAACCAAAAACCAACCCCTAGCCAACCCTAGATCCATCCTAAACCAACCCCGGACAACAACCCAACCACAGGACCACAGCACCACAGGACCCATGATCTACCTTCCCTTTGTCCTTGAAGATGTGCCAAAAATACCTGCTTTGTTGAGGTGGCGTACTTTGACATTGTGTCCCGAAGCGGGCCAACCGAAGTACATACATGCAAATCCAAGCAAAATGCCACAAAGCAGTGTTGTTCATTTGTTTCCTCGGGAAACAACAACCCAAGACACAACTGATAAGACGTGTTGGTTTTGCCAAAAAAAATGTGTTTCTCGAGTTGTGTTTGTGTTGCTTGGTTTTCCCAAAGTTGTCCTGATTTGTTCAGCTCTATCCCTTCGAAACGCCAAGGACATCGTGGTGTTCTGTTTTTCCTTCTTGCATGCACAGCCAAAACAAACGACGCGAGCTGGTTGGTTCTTGTTCAAGGGATAGAGCTAACAAACTGCCCAACCAAAAAACAACCTAGAGAAGACCAAACAAGCAACTCCTCTGAGTTTGTTTGGATTTCGCGAGGTTTTACGTTGGTTTGTGTGTTTTCCCACAGTGGTTGCTTGGTTTTTTTTCGGCGTCTCCCATCGGGCAGGTTTGGTACTTCCAGTACCCTTGGAGCCACGGCGAAGGGCTGTCACCAATAAGGGCACCCGATGTTTTTCTGCGGTCTACTTTAGGTCCCGAACCCTCCCAACCAAAAAGGTTGGTGAGAAAGGGCACCTAGCTGGGGGAACCTAGTAAATTGGAATTTTAACACCTGGCGTTCAAGTCTTGGCTCAAGAAAGCTCCTGGAAAGGCTCCTCAAGCTTCATAGCTTCATAGCTTCATTCCCCAACCCCCTCCCCCCCGCCACAATAGCGGGCTCAGGGGAGGGGCCTTATCCCTTAGGCAAATTGCAAAGCTCCTTATAAGGCTTCTCGTAAAGCTACGTGTAAAGGACTGCTTTTGAAGCAAGCTCTTTTTGAAGCCCGCTTGTTAAGCTGCTTGTAAGATTTGCTACGAAGCTCCTCATAAAGCTGCTTACACAGCTTCGTGTAAAGCTCCCTTCACGGCTCCGGTTGAAGCTTTTCTCAAAGGCTCCTTATAAGAATAAGGATCCTTTTAAGCTCCTTGTACAAATTCCTTGTCAAGATGCTTGTAAAGCTCCCTTTAAGGCTCAGGCTCCTGGAAAGCTGCTTACAAGGCTCCTTATACAGCTCCTTTTAAGGCTCTTTGACTCAAAAAGGTGTGGGGCCTTTTTTCCTTTCGGAGCATGTTCACTAAGGAGCCTTCAAAAGAGCTGTATAAGAAGCTCCAAAAGGAGTCTTGCAAGCAGCTTTGCAAGGAGCCTTATAGATTCAATAACCACGAAATTCGAACTGTGATAGAATTGACGAATGACATAATTGCAGGTGTGTGGCTATTATAATTGAGAATGGGAAAGTCTGTATATAAGGTTCCTGGGTAGAAGTCTGTAATATCTCGGTCTGTAACATCCCTTCCTTACACCCACAAACAGCTTCTGGCATCTACGAAATTCCAGCGGCCAGTTTGCTCCCAAGGGGCCTAAGGCAACCCAAGAAGTCGGCCCAGGAGTATCCCGCCCTGGACAGGAACCTCCCCGGAACCCACAAGAAACCTGGGCTAGCCGTTGCTGAGCAAAAGACCTCTGAGGTCCAAGTATTTTCTGACGGAGTTAGGTCGAGACTATCCGCAGGTGCCAAGGGGTCCTTTGGGAAGTTGTGGTACCAGGCAAAAAGCTGCACCAACCGTACTTAGTACTTTGAAGACAGCAGAACAGGCTAAACAGCTACACAAGTCGCCAACTCCCTGAGTTCCTGGACTTTAGTCGCTGTTTCGGAAAAGCATCTTTGTGGTAAACACCAAGTTTGAACACAGTCCCCTCAGGAATTGAGGTGGGGCTCCCACAGCTGGTAGAGTCCGAAAAAACAAAAAACTACCAAGAAAAAAACAACCACTATTCAAAAAAAACAACTCTGACTGAGGCACGGGCGCTGACGATGCTGGTGGTGATTCGCATGTTGGGGTCCAGATTGGCCAGGTGAGCCTAGAGGGAAAGGACTTAGAGACACGACCAAGCGCCCAAGGAAGGCTTGATCAGCCAGACTGTTTCTTTTTTGAACAGCGCAATGCGTCCCACACAGAACACATGTCAGCGGTGCACTTGAAAAATCGTAAGCCAGACACTACCCCCCCGCCCCCCAAGCCGCAAGGCTGAACCCCTACCCTTTTGGCGGGGGGGTCTGGCCTTTGGGGTCTTTGGAAGTTGGTCCCAACCAAGGCCATGTTTCGTCCGGGTCCATCTTTCTCCTGATCTTTGAGGCCCAGGGCCAAACAAATTGGCTAACACACAGGGGGAATGTAGATGGCACAACTCCTTTGCTACAGGGGATAGCTCCATGTACTTTAACCCAACGTTATATGACTCGACCATATCGCTTTCACTTACTCCCGCTGTTGGAGCATTAATACTATTGTCAGCTGCTCACGTGGGGATTTGTGCCTGACCACCTTTGCAGTTGGTCCAAGGCCGTCGTGAACCCTTGAATAGTCGAGAAGAAGTGCAACGTATGACTGTTTCAGGGCAACATGCAATCTTTCAACGGAATATGGCATCCCCCAAATATGGTTTGTTCTAAGATCCCACCATCAAACTCATCAAACCGGGCAAATCGAATTCACCATAGAAGTAAGTCATCCCCAACCAAGGGATCCTCAAACTCGTCTCATCAGCTCGTCGCATTTTGAACTGCTCAGCGTCATGCAACAGGTCGGATTTGGGGATTCAATTTCAAGAATGATTCAAAGTTCAAAGCAGGCAGGTAACCCCTCAGCAAGGATAAAACTCACCGTAACAAATCTTGTTTTATACTCGCATGTTATTACACCCTACAATTCATCGTAACAACATTAACCGAAGTCATTTGGAAATTCGCCCTGTAGGTAAAATCACCATGAAACAAGTTACTTGGACCTTCTGGGCACCATTGAAACTCACAGCCGCGTAACATCCTAGAAAACTGCATCTGCGCGAGCCTCAATCGCCGTCTCGAAAGTCTCCCTGGAGCTGGTCTCGCTCTTAGAGAGCAAGCAGTACCTGAAAAACGAAGAGGGCTAATCTTGGTAGCTGTTGCCCTGCGCAAAACAAAAACATGACTTTTGCTCATGGAACGAAATGGCACCCATGTCAGGGTTCCAGATTGCATTTTTTGACCACCCCAAGGTAGACAAAAACAAAACAACCCTCTAGCGATTAGACTGCCCGACTAACTTCAATGGAAAATGGAGTATACAACTACATCAGTAAAGGTTGCCTGTCCCATAATTTCCTTAGAGGTGGTGGTTTGGGGGTGCTGGAGTTTGCCCTTTGATTTGTCTTTAAGTAGCCGTGACCCCAAAAGGGTATAGTTTCAAAAACAACGACAATCCAAATGCGTGTCTCACAAAACTAGGAACCCTTCAGGGGACCGCGGGCAGTGCTCAAAACCAAACAGCTGGCAACAAACCAAGTGCCCATAGTTTGGACAAATACTGTATCCCAGAGGGTTTAGGGCTGCAAAAAGCCTTTTAAACAGCAAATAAGCCCAAACAAGGCAAATTTGGCGAAAAGAGGCCTAAACGGTGCGGGTGTCTTTGGGGCTGCGATGATTTGCACTTTGGATAGCAAGTAACACGCGCTGGCACTTCACCAAAGGCGCACAAGCATGCCTTTTTGACCCCGGGATTTGGCTCGGGAAATATGATTTGATGGTTGTTGGGGTCCTCAAACATGTGTGCTTCTTTGAACTGCCATCCCTCCCATTAACATGGTACCTGACGGGGGAACTGTTCAAGAGGAAATCATGTTTTCAGATACCAGTACCCCGAAGATGCTATGCTTGTTGGAGGGGTACGGAGGCCCCTTGGAGTTGTCCACAGGAGGGCCTGCAAAGGGCTTGTGACTATTCGGGTTTTTGAATCCCGCGCCAACCAGCGATTCGGCAGATTCCGAGCCATGCAGCCAGAGGGTTCCCTGAGAACCAATTGAAATTGGCACTTTGTGGCTTTCAAAAGGGTTACAAGCGATCGGAACCCATTCAAACAAGAACCCGTGAGAAAACGGGAAGCCAAAGGATCTCCAAATACGACCAAACAATCCGGAACCTGAATGAGACCCTGGATCTTCAAGTAAAGGACCTCAACTTCGACCATTTGTTCACCCTCCAAATCTGAGGAAACAAATCGAAACCCACAAAATTCAGGGAGAGGCGTGGACCAAAGGATCTGGGAAGTCCATTGCATGGAGGCCCGGAAGCCCAACCGACCAAGGCCACCCCGTTTAGGGTCTGGAAAAGAACGCCCCAAACCGACCCCCGACATTGACCTGGTTCCAAGGAGTATGAAATGTTAGAAAGGTGTAGCTGCCCCATGAAACCAAACACTAGAAGCACCTACAGTGTCCCCTATATCTCTCCTTAAGATATCACCTCGAAGGGAAACGCACCTTGAATGGGCCAAAAGGTGATGTGTCAACCGGCCCAAATGGGAAATGTCCAGAACCCTGTACCAAAACGGCCGGCAAACTTGGTCAACGGCCGATCGCCGATGTGACCCCCCGGCGCACGCCAGCACCGTGCGGCCCTTGCGAGGCCTTGAGAAAAAAACAAAGCGCTCGACACGGAAACGAGCCCAGCGATTTGGGGGGGGGTCCAAGGAACAATCATTTTGGGGAGAAAGCAACATGTTAGGGAGCGTTTGTATGGACAGCCCCTTTTTTGAGATATATCCATTTGCCCAGTTGAGGCCATTTAATTTGGGTGTGTTCTTTCTGCGTGATTCAAAAGAGATACCAAAAGGAAAACCACACGCGAGCGAAAGCTGATCCAACTAGCCGTGACCCTCAAAGGCACGCGAAGGAAACCCACTAGACCGTGATGGGCCTTATTCGTCGCGTTGTTTGCCCCTATTGAGATTGGGGGGGGGGGGGCTTGATCTGCCTTCACACCCATGGGCCCATAGGTAGTGCGGCTTCCGGGTGGTTGAGATGGTAGCTCTCGACCACGATTGACAAAGGATTGGGAGAGAATGATCGATATGGCGGAGCAACTGTCAATTGTGTGTTAAGTTGTCCAATGGCAGTTGGGCAAGTGTGTCCCTGTCATCCCGTTAGTACACTAGATGACTGTAGATATTGATCTTTGCTCGTTTTATTTCAACCATAGTAGGTAGCGAACAGGCTCCGTTTTTTTTGGAAGCACATATATTGAAATCACACCTGGCGGGGTGCCGGTGTTCTTTTTTGTTGAAGTGACGCCTGGGGGGTAAGCGGCTCCTTTTTTGCATCACATTTTGAAATAAAATAATAATAACAAAAACACCAGCCCAGAGGCGTGTATTCAAAAAAAAGCGGAGCCCCAAGGCGTGAATTCAAAAGAAAAAACGCTCCGGCCCACAGGCATGAATGCAACAAAACAAGCACCGGGACCCCAGGCGTGATTTCAAAAACAAGAACACCGAACCTCCCTAGGCGTGATTTAATACACTGGGAACCCCCCAGGCGTTATTTTAAAAAAAAAACTTGACCCCCCAGGCGTGATTTCAAAAAATGTGATTCCAAAAATAATATATGACCCCCCCCCCCGGCGTCATTTCAAAAGAAACAAACAAAACAACGGGACCGAGGTGTTTTCTTCTTTGCAACCACCAGTCGCTCACTCACTTACTTGCTCGCTTCGTCTGTGAAACACAATCAAATGAGAATCTAAAATGAGGACTTTCAAAAAAGAAACCGGTGGTGAAAATTCAAAGGAAAAAAACACCGGTTCCGGTAGCGAACTCATTTATCGCCCAGACTAGCCAAGCAGGCATTCCACCAAACAAGACACCAGCTTTTTGCAGGCCCCACTAAACATGACCAGAACGCACTCGGGCCTTGGGCGAGGGGGGGGGGGGGTGGGGGCCGGATCCAGGGCTGGGCAAAATTTGAGCCAACCTCGGAGAAACCAACCAGGGGTTGCTAGTCTTGAGACACAAACTTGGGCTCCTTAAAGGATACCTCCGAAAACCAATTCAGCTGGCAAATTTTAACCCAAAGCGTGGCCATGGCCAAGCAAGATTCGGCACTCTTTCCAGTCGTTTTTCAAGGGTCCCACCCCTCCACTAAAAGACCGGATGTAGAACGGATTGCTCCGCTGTGTCTGGGACACAACACATTGCGGCCCCGGCAGCCCGGACTTGTAGTCTTGCTTCGGCAGCGGGGGCATCCCGCAGACCAGGCGGATCTCGGCCGGTTCCCCATTGAAAGGGGCCCATGGACCCTGCAAATACGTGCCACCTCTTGGGGATACCAAAAAGGGGAACCTGTTTGTTTGGTTGTGTGGCTTTTTACGGGGTAAACCCACTGTTGGTCTTTGAGGTCCCCCCTCATTTTGAGACGCGCTATAAAATATGGCTATGAATCTGAGTTTCGCGAGTTGGAGTCACCTAAGTGGTTGGTGGACAGAATCCCCACCCTAATGTCCCAAAGGGTCCCTTCTTCCACTCACACGATCCACTCCAAATACTCACTTCGTGGATTCTTCGAACGCCTAAACTGCTTCTTTGCCACAAAAACGGCCTTGCCAAGAACGAAGACCCTCTTTAACATGGTTTCTCAAAAGCACACTTGAGGGTTGCTGCTTGGTCCCTGGAGAAGGCACATGTCACATGTGGTTTTAAGACTGTGCTGAGCTTCGGAGCAGCCAATTTGCCCCTAGCATTCTCCGAAACAGGGGGTGTTCCAGGGTAAATACCCGAGGGTCGACATCATACTCTAGAGCAGAGAGTGTCTTTGGAGTTTGTTTCAACCATAATAGGTGCGGGCCTGGTTCATGCCTGCCAAAAGGCTGCAATTGTGCAACCCTTCGGAAACACAACCCGAATCAATCGGGGCGACATTGGGCAAATCTGTAGCTCTTACATTAAAAACATGAAAGAGAATTTCCACATATTTCAAATAAAGGCGCCCTACGTCATGGGTGTTCGCTCGTTTTACCCCCGAACTGATGAGTTGGAAGCCGTGAAATCGGCACATCTTTCAAAAAAAAGGCCTCGGGCTCATTGGAAGAACATATTAAATAGTAGGATCCGAACCTAGATCATCTTAGATCACTTAGTGGAGCTACAACCGCGACAAGTGGGTCATTGCCACGAGTACTAACCGCTTCGCCAATTAAGTCCCGGGCGTGTGATACCTTAAACGGCTTACGGGCCGTTTCTGCTTGTAGGCACCTCCAGAGCAGGCTTTGGCACCTCCGCAGCTGGCTTTGGCACCTCCGCAGCTGGCTTGGCACCACCTTCACAGCAGGCTTGGCGCCACCTCCACCACAGGCATTGGCACCTCCAGAGCTGTCCCTGGCACCATCTCCGCAGCTGCCTTTGGCACCAAGCCCTCTGAGTATGGCAAACCATGTTGCACGGGGAAAGCCACTAAAACATGAAAAGTATGACATGTTCAACTAAATGAACAAGTTACCCATGGTAATTTGCGGGCCAGGAACATTGATCAACTCCCACATGGCAGAACCACAGATTCAACTACATGATGTTGCACAACCAAAGAACAAAAGTATTCAAACCATGAATCCACTTTGCAGCAACGCTCAGTGGGTGTTGTTTAAAAAGACCATATTGGCGTGTCGCCCTTTGGGAGCGCTTCGGCAAAATCCAAGGGCCAGGGGCTAAGCCTTGAGGCCAAATAAGACCAACCTGGCGGGGTCTCTTGGACAGGGGCAAGTGGTTGAGGGCCCTGAAAAGAGATTTAGAGCATATGTCTGAGGGCAGGACCGTGTGAAACCACAGGGTGAGCAGGAAAAATTCGATGATGCTCCAGAGGCAGAAGGCGTTGGTCAGGATGTAGATCAACCTGAGTAGTAGGTCGGGCTTTAAACAAACAGAGGGGGGAACAGTAAGCAACGAATCACCTTCTTTCAGGCTCCGTTTTAAAGCGCACGTTTTTTTTGTTGTGGGGGGGTTGCAAAACAAATCAGACCTGAGCAGTCCCAAATCGATGTGTTCAGGGACCCCACAGGAACGCTACAAGCTCATCCCAAGGACTTCAGAACCCGAACAGTTGGGCTAAGAATAAAGTAAGCCTTGCTAAGGCCGAATAAGGAACCGAACGAGGCAAGATCAAGTCTTGGCTTTTGGAGGGGTTGGGGCGGGGGTGAGGCAACCGAATCAGAAACTCGTTTGCCATGACAACCGCGGGTCAGCCGTTGTCCTGGAACCAATCCCAAAGACCCCAAAGGGTTTTCATGGGTTTTCCGATTTTCATTTGCTGTTTGTTTGAAAACGCCTTGGCCCAACTCTGGTCAGCTTCCCCCTCCCGTCAGATCCCAGACCACCACTAACCACCAACTAAACTTACCTGATCTGTGGTGCACCAACCATGATATGTTCATGTTCTGCTTCATTTAGTCTTCCCGACATACATAGTGTTGGCCCAGGACACACGGGCGCCTTGCCTTTCAAATCTCTTTGGAAAACAAAGCCCCCCCCCCTGTTCGCGTGGACGCCAAAGATCCCGCAAAGACCACTCACCGAAAACCACCCCTCAACGTCCACTGCAAGTGACAGGGGTTTGACAAGCCTTAAGGCGAAGGGATAATAAGACCAACGGCTCGGGGTCGTTGGTTGGGCCCTTGGCTGTCGAGGGCTCTCTTTGTTCACCCCCAAGACTTGGCCCAACTGCGGGGCAAACCGGTGCGTTCACTATGTGCTTGTCTGATTTGGCTCATGTAGGAAAGCCACACCCGAAGCCAAGCTCTTGCCGCTACGGAAAGTTGGTTTCTGTTGTCCCTGACAAGGGCTTGGTCGCAGGTTCCGAGATCACTCGGATGCTGCTGGAAGATTCAAAGGGAAAAAGTTCCAGAAATTTGGCGGATTCCTACTTCTTCTTTCTTTTTTTTTCCGGGGGTGCAGGGTGGGCTGACTTTTGGCCATTCGGGCGAGGAGGGGGCGTCCAGCGACAAATGAAGGGAAACCCAGAGGGAAATCATGTGGAGGCGTTAAGCCCTCCATTTGGAAGAGTCTCTGATTCCAATCTTTGTTAAAGAAAGCAGGGATGTCTCACCTCCGCGGTACCTTCTGAGCTTCTCAGGTCCAAAAGCCACCAAGATCAAGACACCTGGGTCATGTCCCCCGGCAACAATACATTACCCGGGGTAAGGAGTCCTCTGTCCTCCGCCGGGTAAACCAAAACCGTCCGAGCTTTGATATAACCTTTCATCCTTCAACCATTTCATACCTCCAGCTTTCCAGCTAGCATAGACTTTTTGTTTGTTTCTTCTCAGGGAGCCTTTCACTCTTTGTCCCCCCTCAATGTTCCAGCTTCCATGCTGCCGACTTTTGCCTTTAGCCCCCATAATGAACTAACGGATACTTTAAAAAGGGCTTACACAAAGGTTTGAAGCTAAAGGGAAGGTTCTCGCCCTTAATGATCCTCGATGGGCCCTGATAGTCCCTAGCCACTATTGGACTGCAATGGCTTCCCTTGCCACAACTAGTATATGGCTGTGGGTCAAAACTGGGTACCCAAAATGGAACCCTTGTAAATGGAGCCAAGGACTAAAACCTGCGGTCCCCTAGAGGCTTAATTTTGACCCACACCCATGGGGTTGTAGCCCCAATCAACGGGCTTCCCTTGCGGTTCACTATTGGCCTTTGGGGCAGATCAGCCCCACCCGGCCCCAGACTGGTTTGGCTTCTGGGAGGCCCGACCCCACGAGGAAGTGGGTCGCCGTGTCGCCGGACCACTTCACAAAGTACGTGAAGCCTCCGCGCTTTTTGTCCCGTGCTTGCTTGGCTCACCTTGAAGCTTTTCACTAACCAGCAAAGGCGGTGACCCTTTGCGGGGGAAATAGCCACATTGTAACACCTTTCTACCCAGACGCTCCAGGAAAAAACTCAAATAACTCCTTTTGAAGAGACTTTGGGTAAGATGGCATCCTAAACTGGAACTGGAGTTGGGGGGGGTCTCGGAAGACCATGTTTCTCTTCAAGGGTGTTCTCTTCGTGGGTTCCATGTTTCTGGGTTGTGAGTCCCGGGATCCTACAGACACCCTCGGAGCCCCCAACGGACCTTGTCAGTTTTGCGTGGCGCGTGCCCTTTCAGCCCGACAAAAAAGGAAACGCAAGCAATTGGCACGATTGAACCAAAAGATGAGGTTTAAAACAAGCCTTAACTATATAGCAATGGGCGGTTGCTCGGGGTGCAACCTTGAGCCAGCCTGTTCTCGGCGCCTGACCAGGAAAAAGAAGGCACGTGGGCACAAGGCGCCATAGGGATTGACAAAATCCGAGACAGGCACTGATGAATGACACCCTCTGCACAGTGGGATAAACCAGTTTCCAATCGCAGCAGGATTTTGCCCATCCAAAACTCACTGCCCATGTTGCCCCGCTGCAAGACTACCTCCTGCAAAAGACCCTACGACTCCGCCGCCGTTTTGGGCACTCCAAAGGTGAATGACTTGGCTGGAGAAAGAACACATTGCCACGAAACGAGAACCCGAGCCTGTGCATTTCCAAGGTGAAAAAAAGGCCGCCCTTTGTCTGGTGCCCAGATATCATTTGTTATGGCTTTATGGGCACTCAGCCCCCAAAGGGTTTTGAAGGGAAACCCAACCCAAAAAGGACTGGTGACCGCTTGAAATGCTCAGACAAGTGCTGCCTTCATGGCAGTGGAAGCCAACCATGGGTTCCCGTTTTCGGGTAGGTGAAAAAAAAACCCAAAGGAAACAACACATTTCTGGGGTTCCCTACTTAGACACGCACCCATATGAACTGAACCTGTTGCAACATGTTGTAGCCCTTTGCTTAATTATTAACGACCTAATATTATCTCCTCCGGCCCACCCCTTAACTACTAACCAACCCGGGTTGATCCATCCTGAGTTTTCATCAGTTACCCTTCAAACCTTTCGCATGTATCAAGTAAAGGACCTACCTCATGCTTCGTGTGGCCCGAACTCGCCAGGAAACAAGCAGTGCCAAGGAAACAAGGCACCCTTTTTCTGGGGTAGCTAATGTTGCGCCAGGATTGATAAACCCGTCCCAATAAGGGGGGTGTTCCCTCCAAAAGTGGTCTGAATCCCCACTAAAAGGGGACATGCCCCTATTAATCAACCAGGGGTTCATTAATCCGGGGTGAACTTTATTTTTGAAGGGACACCCCTCCAAAAAACATGTTGAACACCGGATTGGCGCCCAACCATCCCGCTGAGGCCCTGGCATGTGCTGGCAACGCAGGACAACGTGACCACCATGGTGAGGAAGATCCTCGCGAGGAGTTCTCGAGGGTCTCCCCGTTCTGAGTGAACTATAATATTTCACCAACCTGAAATAAGGTGGTTGGAGGGGTATTCGCCACATAAAGCACCATTTGGGGTGAGGTCGTGTGCGTTATAATTCACCCAGTCCGGCTCAATTCCAAGGTTGCTAAAAGTTAGAGCTTTGGTTTGGGATTCCAGCCACCGCGAAGCGAAGTCAACACTTCACAGCTTGAAGTCTGAAAACCTGGTTTTGGACAAATCAGCTTGGCTCGACAGGGGTTTTGGCCTTGGTTTCGAGGGCTGCTGGGGATACACGCTGGGGTTTTATTTCTGGCGCCCCAAAGCTTTGCCCAAGTCAAAGACAGGGAAGACCCATAAAAAAGACCACAGGGAGACCCGCCATAAACCGTCACCTTCGCCGAGGACAGTTGTTGGCCTTTCCGGAAGAGATCCCGATGGTTTTATGGCGTTTGACCCCCCAGGATCTGAGAATGGCCTCGGGGTTACAAGTGTCTTAAGTGCTTCGTCAGAAGGTACCCAGGCATCTAGGGGCCTTTTGTACACACCCCAAAAAGCCATGTTCACTGGGGATGTGGTTTAGCTCAGGAACATCAGGGGATTCAGGAAATCAGGGCAAACAAGAAATGAAATACTGTTTTTTGTACAGTTAGGTTGGCTCCCTTATGCATATTTCCAGTAAACCAACCATATACGAAATGCTGGATCATCATCTCTGACACTCACCCCTTCAAAGGAAAGAATGATTAAGGGGAGCCAATAAGACACACACACACAGAACACACGTAAAGGCTTCGCGGGGCGCTTGATGGAGTTTCTGAACAACAAACAAGGGGACGCAAATCAGTTCATGGTTATGCCAAAGTGGGTCCTCCCTTTGACATTTTTTCACTTCAAAGGCGGTTTCTTTTGTGTCACAGAAATTGATCCAAAAATCACGAAAAGGGGTGACCCTAAATGGGTTCTAACAAATTGGTTCTAGGATTCTACACACGATTGCCCTTTTCTGCAAGTTTTGGTGCAAAACACAAGCAACCATGTGAGGCTTTCAACTTTCGGTATGGTCCTTGTGCAAACACGCTAGACGAAAAACATTTGCAACTTGCTCAATCATTCCAAAACCCCATTAAACAAATAAATCACCAAGGAAACAGGCTACATCATGGGTTCTCGCTCGTTTAGCCCCGAAATTGTAGAATCGCTCGAAACTCACAAGAATCGGCGGGACTTGTTCAGAAAACCACCAAACACCCAATGGACATGTTGCAGGTTTTTGAAGAGGCTGCTGGAAACCCATGGAAACAACCATCACTTTCCCTCTCTTTGACACATACCCGTCTGACATGAGGACCTGGAAAAGGAGCCAAACTCCAGCCCCGAAACATCAAGCGGCTAAGGCAGCGGCCAGCAAGACCGCGGGGTGTGTAGGTTCGCGAGCCAAGTCTCAGAACCCTCCTGCGGCGGGCGATCCGCGCTGAAAAGGCTGCACCTGAATTTGGTTCACGGGAAATGTCGCAGGAAAAAGTCACAGTTTATGGGGTAAGGGCTTGGGTAAAGTGTATGGTTAGGGTTCGGGTTAAGGGTTATGGTTGGGGTGTGGGGTATGAGGATGAAAATAGGTCCTTTGACACGCTATGAATTTCAAGTGACCCCTGGGTAGACCTCATGGGGCTTCATGTCCACAGCTTCTGACTTGCTTTCCTCGAAATGAATCCGCAGGCGCCTCGGTTTGCTTTTCGGGGGGTATGAGCCGCCTCTCGTTTCCTGAGGCTCGGCGGGTGTTTTTGTTCGGTTGGGAAGGAAAACCAAAGAACACAATCCGCCCGTGTTGAGGGTCATAAAATCAAACTGGGGAATTGCACCATCTACCTTCACCCAACTCTTGTGTGTACAAATAGTCTTCACCAACATGTTTTTCCCAACTGGCCGTTTCAGATGGCAGTTGATTACCCATTGTTGGCTTGATGTTGGCTTTCCAGGTCCACCAAATGGATTCACCTGGGTTCATAATATGTGCGCGGAGTGTCCCATATGTACATGATGTACGTGCCGCAATGGTGAAAACATGATTTGGGCAGGTCGGGGTTCATATTGGGCTGATCCCAATGCTGCAAACGGGGGTCCCAACATCAGTCATACTGTTACCCAAATCGAGGTGAAGTGGTCCACCCAAGACCTATGGTAACGAATCACAAAGGCTCAAGTCCGCTTTATTGGTCCATATCAGGAGAGCCCAATAAAAGGAATGGAGGGCCTTGACAAGCGTGGGATATAATCTTAACTTTGGACTGATCTGGAGGACCTCACTAATTAGGGTGGTTCCGCGCTTGGCAAAGACTTGCTGTATGTTTCTGCAAGGAGTTTTCTCTGACAGGTAGGGTCCTCCTGTGATCCTGTCTTCATGATACAACTGATCCTGCAAAACGCGCAATGCAGGGTGGGGTGTTGCCAGCCCTGCGTTTGCCGCCTAAGACTTTTGCGCAGAAACTAGGCATCCATATTTAAGCCCCGGCTGACCAAAACCAAATCCTATTGCCCAAAGCCAAGCTGAAACTCTCAGCTTCTTGGGATTGAAACGAGAACTACGTGCCAAACAGGCAAGGCGCAATCAGGCCTTGCTCATTGGGATCCGTTGCTTGCCGGGATCCTTTGGACATTTGGGGACTTGGCCACCAAAGGCTATCTTACCAAAATGAAAAAACAAAACAACACTCCAGGCGGAAAAAAACACAGAGAATGAAGCAGTCACAGGGTTGTCCTGCAAGAATACCTTCATACGCTGGCCCCTGAAAGGGGGTTCCGCTGTTTGGCTTGGAGGTACGGTGGTAACTATTACTGACAGCGAGCCTTGCAGAACCCTGGCCCAGAGCCGCTCCGAACACTCCTGGAGCCTTTCTAAACTATCGAGCCCAAAGCTTTCAGCGAAAAGGACCCCAACGAACAGAACCTAGGTGCTATGCAAATGCCCAGTTTTGTTTGCTTCGTGGAAAAACATAAACTTGCTCCATTAAAAAGTTGAGGCCCTAAGCATCTTTTGAGGTCCAAACACCTTTGAATGGAGGTCCTGACCTCTTCAATGGAGGATCCAACTTTGCTTAGCAAAGATCCCGAGAAGAACCTTCATCGGGTTTCGGTCGCAGTCCTTTGGCCGCAGTCATGATCCAAATTCGGGGTTGGGCCAGGCCGATGTTTAGATGTGTTTAATTGACCTACTGCTTAACCAAGTTTAAACACATTCCGAAACCTGAGTTAACCATTGTCACTTCCTCAGTGCGTGGCCCCAAAAAAGAGAACCTTTCATTTACCACTCAACTGACCATCTCAAAAACTAAAGTCCAGCAACTTAGAAAGAATTAGATCTCCAAGGACAGGACCTTGGGTTTAAGCTCCTACCTCTGGCTCCCTCGACAAATTCGGCACATCCCTCGGATCGCCTCGCCCGCGCCGAACTTTTCGCACAAGGGGTCCGCCATGTCATCCTAATCGCATCGGCGCCGATACGCCCCGCGTGGGTTTGGGCGTTTTGGTTTTCAGAGTCTGTTTCCTGTTGACTTCTAGGTCCTCCAGTAGAGAGGTTAGAACAAGGGTACCAACTTTTTTCTGTGGTCTATTTTAGTAGGGGAACCCTCCCCCAAAAAAGGGTAAAAGGGGCACTACTGGGGGACCTATACTTGCTGGTGCTCAGCAGGGAATGAGGGGATGAACCTGGGGATTCCCTTCAAGGAAATTAAATCGGGGATGGTCCATTCCGTGTCTCATTCCCCGCCTATGGCACCAGCCGAAGTTTCGTCTACCCTGAGGAGACCCCAGTTCACTCCGGAGGCCACGCCTTTTGAGGGAACTCTCCGTGTTGCGCAGGGAAACGGAACCCGCCCATTTTGGGTAAGGTGATTTCACAGAGACTGCCTCCACACGAAAGGCACGCCGGGCGCTGGATGTCTTGCCGTTCCAAATCCTGCGTCAATGCCTTCTGACTTGACTTTGGGTTTGGCGCATTGCCACCTCGTCTGCAAAAAGGACCTTTTGGCAACACTCGATTGCACGAAGGGCCCAGAAGTAAGGGTTAACCTCTTGGGGCCATGACTAAAATGGACCAACAAGGGAAAACAAAAAACTCAAACTTAACATTCCAAGGGTCTTTGCTCAGGATGAGATTGCCCCAGCTGTTTTCATGTTTAGACAATCCTTGCTGCTTCGGACTATTGCCCTACGCCTCTTGGGGCCCTCAAGATTGCCCCTCTGTGAGGCCCAAAACCTTTCGATTGAGATCCTGACCGTCTGACCCCTTGAAGGGAGGGTCCAATGATGCCTAGGGCAATTCCCCGGGGGCCCGCAAGCTTAAGATCTAACACAAAACACAGAAGCCACCAATGCCCAGCATGGTCGACGAGGCAAAAACATGCGCAAAACGGATGCCTGTTTCTATGGTAGGACAACTCATATTGACATTACATGAATTATAAAAGTCCTCAAAGGCACCTTCATGGGTCGGCTTGCCCCAGAGGTCGCTATAACTGACGCACACAAATCTTGACTGATCTTGACTGATGAAATTCAGCTGGAGGAATCTATGGAGCGCGTGTTTGCCCCCAAAATCGAGCGATCACTAAAAAGTACAATAATGGTAAAAACCTTGCTGGTGCTCAGTAGGGAATGACCTTTCCGGGTGTTGGGAATAAACCTAGGGATTCCTTTAAAGGAAACTAAATCGGGGATGGTTTCTCTCGGGCTCGTCCCCTCATTCCCTGCCGAACAGCAACGTGTGGGACTTAAGGTCCATCTGGCAAAATTACTATAATTCTCACCTTGTCACCTCGTTAGTGGAATTCGCCCAATGGATTTACCACCCCACCTCGTCAGTAACACTCCCCATAAATAACGCCTCGCAAGCCAAACCCCGGTAAATCTGTTGCCACAAAACAAGAAGGGTACCTTCAAAAAAAAGACGGACATAAGGTCTTTCTCCAACTGGTGCTTGCAGGCGAAACATGCTTCTAGGATGTCCACCACGCCCGCAACCACAACCTTCCACTTCCAACTTGCCATGAGAAGAAACACCCATCGAACCGTCTTCTTCGCCTCCCGATCGGCATGGTGGACAAAGTGGTAGTGAAGGTGGGCAAGAGCCGTAGCGTGAGCAGCGTACAGCTTCTGCAAGGGCTTCAGGAGCGAAAGCCACCGGCTGTTTGACGTGGACAGTGAAGCGAGCAAGGGCTCGTCTGTGATTTCGCTCTAGAATTGGAGGTCGATTCAGGTCGACGGATGCCTGCGCAGGTGCTTGAACAGCACTTGCACCCTTCGTTCCACATCTTTCAGGTAATCCCGGGAAAAGCTGTCCGATGTTGCACTTGTCGGCGGTGGGCCGAGCACACCTAGCGCTGGCTTCCCGACCAACTCACGCAGAGCAGACAAGACATTCTTGCCATGGCACCTGGTGAAGCCAAATGGGTGTGGTGTGGCTCAAAATTAAACTGGAGGGGTTACGCAGGTTTTGGTCCATGTTTCCACTTACCAGGGTTCCATTTTGGTACCGGTTTTTTGAGCCACAGCCACATTGGTTTCCAACATCTCGCCCGACCGGGGAACTCCGGAACGCGCCTCCGAGGTGTCCAGCTCGCGGGCCGTAAAGCTCACACTCCTCTTGAGAGAAGCCGGACGTGTCGGACGTGTCGGACGGGAAACCATATGGGGGGTGCACCAAAAGCTCCGTTAACAAAAAAACAACAACAACAAAAAACATGGGGTGCCCAGGGAAACCACCAAAGAGAGTGGCTTTCAGCACTAAAGGACGAAATGGGAAAAAGTTGCCTGTGAATATTGATCAACCCCAAGGGAGGAAATTCTACAGGACACCCCAAGTTGTAGTGGGTACTGGGAGACAAACTTTGAGAGGGGAATCTCCTGTATAGCTGGTATTTAAGAAATTTACGATTCGTGGGCCCAGGAATAAGGTTGCCAGGGGTAAATATGTGGACTGGCTCATGCCAGGGTTCATAAGGCTCGCGTATGGATGGGTTTCCAGGCAGAATGCTCGAATAGGTTGTTCCCTGTTTGGGCAGAGAAAACACAAAGAGGGAGAGAAAAGACAATACAAATACAAACATAATCTAAGAGGGAAATGGAGAGAAAGAGAAAGAGAGAGAGAGAGACATAGAGAAGGGGAAAGTGACATTTTGAAATTTCGTTCTCCGGCTCTGCCGGACTTTATTGGTTACAAAGCATCCGGCAAGTTTGGTGGAAACATCATGGTAAGCCCCCGGTTTGTCCAGCAATATCCTTAGGCCTTAGGAAAGGCTTGTTTCCGCAAACAAAACTCATGATGGCTGTGCCGCCTGTCTCAAAAGTTTCACGGTTTGCAGGTTGTGGACAATGGCTTATTTTCCCCATCAAGTCGAAGCTTAAAGATTCAACATGATTGAGGCTTGGTGTATCCAACGGGCGTACTGGCGCCTGTGCCTGTTGTAGAGCCCCTGATCAATTGGAATCCCAGAAGCTGGAAACCACATGCGCCAAGGGCGTTTCGTGCAGGAAACCAGTGGGTTTCTCCACCACTTTTGTATGAACATCACTTGTCGGGCACAAACACATGTGTGAGCTTTCTTTGCGGCCAGGGGAAGGGGGGACAACTAACACGATTGATGACCCCCCACTCCTTGCGGCCCAGAAAGCAAACGGCTAAGGGGTAGGCTGAAGAAACAGGCACCTCCTTGTTTCTTGAAAAGTGGGTTCAAACCGTCATTGGCAGGTGTAATTGCCTTGGTCTCCCTGTATCCTGCAATTGTTGTCACTTGAGCCACCCAACAGTTCGCAACAACATGCATCCAACAATCACCTGATTCACAAGGATCCCCTCCAAATCAGCAGGCAAACTCTGCTTTTTAGGGAACCCCGAAAATGGCGGTTTTCCCCATTCAAAACCGCCAAAAAGGGTACCCTCAACAAAAGATACCCCCAAATGACACACCCAAGTGTGATCTTCAATACTCATATGTATATATATATATATATATGTATATGTATCCTTTTAGCAAGCCCCGAACTGACGTCTTCACGACGAGCCAGTGTGCTCGGTTTCAAAAGCGAGCTCCTCTCTCGAGGGTGGCGAAAAGGCACCGGCGAGTAGACCTTGTCCTCCCACACCTGGCGCGACGCGGACGCTTGGCGCTTGGCCCCACTCTGAGCTACAGAAAAAAGAAAAAAAACATACTGCGGATGGACGAAATCCATTTCGCACCACTTGGAAACCATGGGAAACCATGAGAATCCAAGGCAAAGGTTGGTATTTACAGGGGGAGTCATCATTCCAGGGCTTTCTGGGCGGTTTTCTGTTGTCTTCAAGTACAAATGGCCGTTCAAATCCCCAACCGTCAATCCAAACAAGAGGCTGATCATTTGGTCAGATTCTGCCTCATCATGTTTAATCTACCCATCTACCCCCAAAATGCAAAAAAAAAACACTCAGACCCCGAAAACTGCCAGACTTAGACCCCCTCCTGAGCACTTTACAAGTGGCCTTTCATTGGAGATTTGGCGTCCTGAGATTCGCAGCATGACTCCCCTGCAAATGATCATGAAAGCTCAATAAAACCCAAAATCAAACCATCACTTCTGGTGGAATCTCTTTTTTGAGGAACCTGTCTTTAAAGATCCTATCCTTGCGTTGATTGCAGGGAGACATCATTGAGCCTTGAGACACTGGACTTCGATCTGTCTCTTCTAGGCAGGGCCTTACCATCTCAACCCCTCCTCCAAATCCAGTATTCTACGGATGGTGTGGAACAAAGGCAAACAATAGAATCCCTTTGTGTCAAGCGTGAATGTGTACAATATTCCATGAACTCCAGGCGTGAACCCCTAGTTTATTGCGTAATCAACGGAAAAAAAAATACGAGAAGACCCTGGTCGCATGTCCCGCCCACCGGAAAGGATCCTTCATGGGATCGGCCTTTGGGTCGCATCTTGCTCCCAGCTCCGACTCTCTGAGTTCTATGTGAGGGCAACCTCGCTTCTTGACTGGGATGGTCAGAAGCCCAAGGCTCGGGACACTTTTGCGTCGGCCTTCAAACAGGAGCCATCTGAGGCCTGTGCCTGAGAGGGCTCGGAATTTTGCCTGGCAACCACTAGATGAGCTGACAAATAATCTTCCCAAGCTCCGGAAACTGGTCAAACGTGAGCAACTGGCCAGCACACGCAAACATACGTTCAGGGAATTTGCAGGTACCTAGCCAGCCCTTGCTTACAAGGCTCTCTGGTTCGCCCCAAGAAGCTGGGTATGGGCCCCGCGACAGCTCAGGATAGGCCAAAATGGCAACAAAAAGAAAACAGCACTTTGTTTTTGTCTCCCAAAATGGCCTTCCCGAACCTTGAACCTGAACTTGAAAAGGATTCGCTTAGAGATTACCTGGAGTCTCCATAACCCTTTCAGCATCGTGAAGCCCACTCCCTTTTCTAGGGTCCACTGGCCATTGAACATGACAAACAAACAAACAAACAAACAAACCAACAAACAAACGACGAAACGACCAAAGACACAAAGAACTAAGTAACCAAACAACCAAGCAAACAAGAACCAAAGAGCCAAGAAAACAAAGAACCAAGCACAACTCAAGAACCAAACCACGTAGGTCGCCACCCGCGCCTCCTTGAAGCCGCTGTAGATCAGTAGCTGGGTCATCAAACTCACAATGATCAGGATCTCAGGGCGTCGTTGCCCCGAGAAGGGAGACATCAGACCCTGGATGGCTGTTACCCCCCCACGCCAAAGGTGTCGACTTTTGCGGATTGGTGCGGAAACACACATTCCCCCGATACAAGTTGAAGCTGAAGGACCCACCCAGCTAGCACCCAGGCGGAGTGTCCCTCGGTACTGTTGATGAGGTACTTTTGACGCCTTTGCACCCCCAAAAGCCATCCTCAAAGGATACCCAGGCACCCCCCAAAAAAAAGTGTCGAACCCATGAACCTCTTATGAAGCCCCTGTCTATCGGTTCACCGGCTTCCTTTTGGACGCCCTTTAAGTCCGAGGAATCCATGAGTAACATGGCGATGGGTGGAATCGCTGTCCAAAAAATGGGATTGGCGGCTCCCCAAACCAAAAAAAGAAGGCGAGAGCTTGATAACCCCGTTTTCGCGCGTTGCCTGGGACGGGAATGAGTCTGTGGATCTATCCCTGGATTACTAAACTAACAAAAGGGAACTAACAGAGTACCAAATGGTGGTTGGGGGCTGCAACAGGCAGAATCCATGACATTGCTGCAACCCCCCCCCAAAAAAAATTGGCTAGGGTTCTTGAGTCAGGCGTGTTCCCCTCAAGGCCAAGTAAGGCCTCTGGAAATGGAGGTTGGGGCCATCGCTTCAGGAATACCTCCTGTAGGTTTCCCTAAGGGACCAGGCGCTGGTTGTTCAAGCAAACAAACACTATCCAACCCGTGATCCCCAATAGCCCCAGAACCCTTCCGGAACCCTGCACCCGCACAAATCAGCACTCCAGAATCGAACCTATCTGGGCAAGAACCCCATAGCTGTCCAGCTGTTGGGAAAAAGAACTTGTGACTTTCCACCACTGTAGTTCAGTCAGATGGTGGGGCCACCTAGCAAAATCACTTGTTCAGCTTCTGGTTCAGATTCCGCCAAAACGGAGATCCCAGTTTGGAGCTAGAACTCCCAGTCCGAGACCCAGACGCAAAACGTACAGAAGAAGATCTTGCAGGACGACGGATCGGAACACCACCTAGCGCTTCGCGCCAGCCATGGCCGAGAGCTTCGCAGGCGCCCGGCTTGAGGCATGTCATGGTGGTCAAAATCAGGCGTGTGATACCCGGAAAACCTTCCATGCCGAATTATTCATTTGTCACTTCAGGAGTTGGTATCACAAACATTTGGTAGCTGATGCCCCCGGGCCCCCGGTGCTATCACTTCGACTTTCGTAGCTAGTGTGGAACACAAACATTCTCAACCAAGAAGCTAAAGTCCACAAAAAACTAACCAACTGGCAGCCGAGGAACATGGGACCCAACTTTCCACCCAGAAGCAACCAGCCCTGCGACGATGCCCTTTGAAAAATAGGGATGAAAAGGGTTGGGGGGTGAAAGGGGAAAACAAAAAACAAATCCCGCTGTTCTGCTGCTAAGAGTGCAGGCAACAGTTCTGCGGATCTAGCCCTGGAGACTGATGGGGTGTGCTAACAAAGTACAAAACAAGGGAACCAGGGAGAAGAACAGGTGGCATCCAACATGCATCCAAATTGAGAGCTCCACCTTTAATGTCACCAAAGAGGGTTGGGTTCCAGCTGCTGGAGAGGCCTTGCTCAAAAGGAACCCTAGCACCTGCATAAAACATGCGCCTCATTCAAAAATCACTAGTCACTACTGGGTTGCTCGGGCTTCCCATGCCATGGCTCCAAATCGGTATACAATACGAACAGGGAAGTTTTATCAACACAATTGGGCCGCCTGGCTGTGGCTCGCAGCTTTAGCATACATTTGCCCCACTGACATCCTCTGTGTATAACGGCTGCGCACAACTGTGATTTAACATAAGATTCTAGCTGCGCGCACATATAGACACGTGTTTGGTTTGCTTACACGGTTGTAAACACTACGAATTCACCAGGTTATTTGTTGCGAACACCCCGTTTCATCTGTAGACTGTCTGCAAAGCATGAGAGATGCTTGTACTACACATTGTGAGCCCACACAATCTCATGTTCAAGCACATGAATTCGCAATATACTGACTACGCAACATCCCCAGTTCATGCATGCGCTTGGGCACCCGCATGGTTTCAGCCAGTTACTGCTTCGCATGGCAAAATTTGGGAGTCACCCTGCTCTTTATGTGGAAAAAGCTAAGTGAGTCCCATGACCCTCCCCAATTGACCATCTGAATGACCGAACCTCAGAAAGGACGCTGCCTGTCCCAGTCCCAAAATCAGGTCAAATGCTTCACTGGATTTCCCCTTCACAAGTTGCCTTGTTTACTGATAGGTTCCAACAAATTAAAGCAACCCTTGCAGGTCTCCAAAATCTCGCTTCGTGGAGTCAGGAAATTGAAGTGAGAAAAGGGAAACTGCGGGATCCCTGTGCCACCTCTGTTTCGATATGCATGGGCTACTCAAATGCTCCAGGAGTTGGCTAAATGGTGAGTAACCCTGGTTATAACCCACTTACCATCTGAAAGTGCTCGCAAAAACCAGGGTTGCTAACCAAACAGCTAACAGCCGGACCATCTAAGTATAAACCCTGCAAACAAGGTTTAGGAGGTGTATAACTCCATTTAAGAACCAAAGGGAGGAGGCCAAGAACCTGTTTTTCTCAGTGCCTATACCGGTTCCCCGCCACCATGCCGTAGACCTGGCGATTCGAGTCGCAAATCGAATGGTTCGGTTTGAGGTGGTTTGTGGCCAGTTTAGGGTTGGCTTGCGTTCATGGTTGGTGGAGTCCCTAAATTCACCGTCAAAAGGGTCGTAAGAAAATCAGTGGGATCTTCTGTCCGACAGCCATGATTTGTCCTTGAGGGGCTAACAGTTTATGCTGGACCTTTCTTTTTGCAATCTTGCACAAATAAGGCCAAAGGCCCCAATACAGGGGCTAACCATTGCACGTGGGCGGGGGAAGCTGCAGTGTGCAAGGCCCCTGAAATATTGAATTCGAACCAACCTTCAGCAACGAGCGACCACCCTGTCCAGAGAATGTTCGGGCCTCGACTGTTGAGGGACAGAATACTTGTAACATGTCCGGCAAAGTGCAGGCATAAACGCCCTGATGGTGTGTGTGTGTGTGTGTGTGTGTGTGTGTGTGTGTGTGCATGGTACCGACACGCTGGTAATTGATCAGTTCGCTGAGGGCCTCTGTGGATGCTCTAAAGCTTATCAGGACACGGAAAGCAGCACACGAGTAGCGGACATTTAGTAAGGGTGGTCCCCTATCGGTGTTCAGTGTGTTGAGGTTAAAAAGGGTTTCTGTTCTGGGTTTAGTCCTATCAGTTTGCGGGTTTGTTGCTGATTTGGACCTCTTCATGTTCATGAATAGTTGATAAGCATGAGCCAACCAGCGAACCAACTTAATACTCTGTGTCAGGAACGACATGGAAGACAAACAAACATTAAACTTGGCTGATCAGTGCTTGAACATGAATCTTGAAAGATCGACTAAGTGGCCAAAGCATGGCCTGGCAAGGCAGAAAGCCTGATTATGGAAATTATGTAGGACCCTGCGCAAAGCATCACTGCAAAGACCAGCAGCACGTACGGCCGTCTACGAATGCAATTTCTTGATGTTTGCCACCTCCTGAGTTGAGCCGCCCCTCGTTGGGCTCCTCGCATGCTCATGGACTGGGTCGGACCTCAAAGAGCTTAAGGCCAAAAGGGGCAGTCGTGAGCTTGTGGGTATAACACCTAGGCCCAGACTGCCAGGAGAGCTGCATGGCAAAGGGGAACTGGCACTCAATTTGCGCACCACCCGTCCGTCCCAACTTGACATGGTTTCAAATCTAGCCAATCTAACGGAACAAGTTGCTTTGGCAACCTCCTTCGCCGTGTCAAGAGAATCCTCTTTACTTGACCACACTTCGATGCTGCAGAAAGTCTATTGTTTACTTCCGCATCTTGATGTTCGGCAACCCGGCCGGACTGGGTCAGACCGTGAGCCGGACGCAGGGGGCAAATCCCAAGTGCCTTCGCTTGGCTCGCAAACTACGACTAAGGCGCTGGAGTCCAGCCCACTGGCTGGAGACCATGAACTTCAGGGATGACATGGGTATGGGTCAACGTTGAACCAGAGGACCGCTGGCTGTAGTCTTTGTTTCCATTTACCAGGGTCCATTTTGGGTTCCTATTTTTGACCCACACCCAAATGCAAACAGTGATGTGCGATACCTCGATACTGCGAGCCTCCATCCTGACCTGGGAAAGTCACGAGTATTGCAGCGGTCTGAAGTCAAGCCCAAAAGCCAGACGGTTCGGTAGCTCGGAGTGCGGGAAATAAGGAAGACGGCAGTCTCAAAGACAGAGCAAAGAAAGCACAAGGCTCCATTGCCGCATTCAAGAAGCGGGAACTGAGCAAGAGCTGGGCAGGCGGAACATTCCAGGCAAATCCCCAAGTCTTCCATCCCAAAACCTTCCCCCGTCCCTTTCGCCAGTCCCTGCTCCTTTGCTTCTGTGACATGGATCTGTCTTTTGTGAGACCCTTTTTGGGCTTGGCTTAACGGGAAAACCACAAGAAAGCACCACAATTTTGGGGTACACTAGTTTAAGACATACGCACAGGTGCAAGTGTCGCCCATCCGAGGGGTTCACCCTGAAATCCGACTCAAGGCGTGCTGGAGCCGCCATGGGTGCTTCACTGCCATCGGAGTTCCAGTAGAAGTAGATGGCCTGGCGATTCACGACCACTTGTCCGAGAAACGGCTTGGTGTAAAATTGGGATTAAAGCCAGCAACCCCACTAAATGGAGGTTTATGACCTCATCTTTTAAACTAACATGGAGCTCCAAGTAGGTTTGGACAAGTTCGGAGGTGTGTAATCCCATTTAAACCTAAACCATTCGGCGGCCAAGCAGATGCCCCCCTCTAAGTGAGGAAAAAAAAGGTCCAACCTTTGGCGCCACTAAACAGCCTGGTTTTCTTGCCAAAATGGCGGTGCCGCAATGTACGCATAAAGTTCAGGAGCAGGGAGTGAGGTGAAGTACGGAGTGTTCCCCCAAGTGAAGGCTTACTTTGCCCTTATGGTTTTCAACATCACCTTGGGAGTTCGATAGATTGGTTCTTGATTTTTGGCAGGTTCCCACGTGGACAGGAGCAAAACATAGATAATATATTGAACGCCGTGCAGTTCAACGCTTACAGCTCACTTCACAGCCCAAAACTTTCAAACTACCACTAGAATGGTCTTCCCAAAAAGATTAAGGTCGAGTGAGGACAGTCATTCTTGGTGTCTTTGCGCGGCTTGAAGCGTCCCCGAGCTTTCCGGCAATCTCGCTAGTCAAACGCTGCGACTTGATCGAGTGACTACGCAACAAGTAAAAACCATCTGACCCATCCTACTCAAGCTAATGTTTTTCCTAGAGTGGTGGGGGGGGGGGGAAACACGGAGAATAGATTGAACCTAAACATATCCAAAGTCGGGAGGTCCAGAATATGGTGTTCAATCATGGGAATTCGCGGACATGCAGGGTGCCAAACTTACCACAAGAAACAGACCGAATCCCCACCTTGGTGCCCATACTGGTCATATTATCAATTACTCCAGCATCCCTTTTTGGAGACGGCAATTGACACCCGGGTGCGGATTTGCATTGCTTCTCGAGAATGACAAATTGCAGGCCCCTGGTGTCCATCCGCCTTGTAAGGGGATCCAAGAACAGAACCAGCGAACTTACCAGCCGTCAGGGCCTCATTTGGCCATGGGTCAAAATCCTGCACCCCCAGTGAACATCCCAATCCCCACTAAAGTAGGTTCTAAAATGGGTGGTGAATTCACCTAAAATGGTACCAAAACGGTTTTGACCCACAGTCAAGTTCGGCCCCAGGGCTTATTTCTTAACTGGGTTGTTCTCAAATCCGCTAAAAGTGATAAACTTTTAGTGGGTCAAATGGAAATCCAACCACTAAACACAAAAAGGCGAAGAAGCCAAGAAGATGGATAAGGGCCACCAAGTTAAGGGTTGGGGTCCGTAAAGCGGCCCGCGGCTTCGAAGCCATCGCGCGCGGCTTCGAAGTCCCCTCGCGGATCTCGCGGTCGGATCGCCTGCACGGTGGCCAGGGCTCCGCAGGGCGCGCCGAAGAGTCCGGCCAGGAAGTGCTGCAGGTTCTTGGGCGGCCTGGCCGCAAGGAGGACCTTTGAACAAGAGCTAACTAACCCAGAGGGTCCAAGTACCTAAGGAGGTACTTAGACCCCGTTCTACCCCTCCAAAAGCCATCCTCATGACCCTCTGGGTAAGCCATTTACATAGGGGGTGATTAATGAGGGTCTAAGTATTTTAACAATAGTTGATTAAATATCATGGCTTACATAAGGAGTGACATTATGAAGGTCCAAGTACTAGGTGCTCACTAGGCGGCAAGGATGACTGACTCGACCTCAATGGGCGACCCAAGGACTGGCTTCACGGATTTGGTCTGAGCCCACCGCCGGTCTTTGAAGCCTGGGGGCCTTTGGTTCTACCACGCTGATTCAGAGCCATAGGGAGCCATGGGAAGGTCACCTTTATGCTGGACACGGGTTTCCTTTGCAGGGAAACCACAAGATGGTGGAGTAAGCAAGGGCCCTGCTTTCTCACCCAGTCACTAGTCTTCAATTGCCCCTATTGGGTTGCAATGGCTTCCCTTTCCAGTGTATGTGTTCAGGGTTCCTCTACAAATCCACGTTTTGTTTAGCATCTATGCTAGTCTGCAGGGAGTGGGTGTGGGTTTTGACTGCCGACAACTTACCCGTTCTGAGTACAGGCATGACCAACAGAACAGCTCAGATTCCACAAAGAAACCGGCCTAGCGACGTTATCATCGGGGGGGTGGCAGGTGTCAAATCCTGAGCAAAACACAGCTGAGCCAACTCAACATAACAAGAAACACAGCTTTCTAAAAATTGCCTCATGTCACATTTCACCGTCGATACGGGCTTCACCAAGCTCGGAACAAATGTCTCTTCGAGCCAGTGGGGATTCATGGCTTGTCCCAATCAAGTTTCATCCATTCGGACTTTGTCCATCCACAGTTTGTCCAAATTTAAGAGATCCTGACACTGTTGTTTAGTGCGTGAGACCGGGAGTTTGGCCATATCCGTTTCTGGCCTTAGGTATTCAGTCCTTATGATGGTATAGGTAGTGTTTCAACTTGGCTTGGATAAGGGGTCCCTGACTGTTGGGAACACAAGTAAATGCCCCTTACTTCAAACAAATTCTTTGTGGAACAGGTGGTTCCATCATTGGTAATGTTGATCACGTGTTGATATGCTGTAATACATGTGTCCTTGTTTGAGTCATAGACAAAGCATGATCAGCTTCAGGCTGGCGAGTTTTTTGTGTTTCCGTTCCATTCACAAATAAAAATAAATAAGGACACCCATGGGTTGATATCAAAGGGACACCCTGCAACAAAAGAGGGCACCAATGGGTTGAATTTAAAGGGAACATCCTCCAAAAAAGAAAAAGGCCTAAGAAAATCCACTCAGCTGATTTCACATAAACATCTATTCAAACAAGGAACAAGGGCACCACTGGTAGTCTGGGCAATGGCTAGTTTTCAGGCGCGGGTACCAACTTCAACCGGATAGCGGTTGAAGTTGGGACCGCCCGCTCTTCCCCGCAACCCTGTGTTCTAAATGAAAGGGGGTGATTACTGGGAACCCCGGATTGGTACAGAATTCGTGCTGCCTTTGAGTGAGGACCCTTCACTTTGGCCATACCCCTCCCTTTCCACACATTGATGTAAGGGGCAAAAGTAACACCCATGATCATGAGGTAGATTGATTGAGCAGCAACTCATGATCGCATTCTAATGATGCAGGCGGTTATAATATTTCAGGCGCGGGGATAGCCTCACTTGCTGAGCGCGTTGGCTGAAAACTGTGTCTAACAGTTTCCAAACTTGTCAGTCTTCCCACCCGTGATGCGAGACTACCACCAAACAATTTTTATCTGGCAACGTCCCTCGTCGGAAGCCGGACGTCGGAAGCCGGGCGGAAGTCGCCTGCAACAGAAGCGGGTGAGGATGAACAAGCCGGCGAGCCCAGCGATGACGGAGCAAATAATGGTCTCAGCGCGGGCGTGCGGTCTGCGAAGCGGGGGACAGTGCAATGGAAGGCAAGGTCTACTCGAAAACGTGAAGTTGAAGTGGATCCGGGGCTTTGCGGACCCTAACTGGGATTCTGAACTAAGACATAGATCCCCTTGCAAGTAAATAAGCTTCGTGGCTTTCGCTCGCTTTACCCCATTTTTTCCGGTGAACCCTTCGAATCCCATGAAACAGACCAGATATTGGTCGGCGGCTCCGGATCCCAACTGATCGTAATCCGAAACTGGTGGATTGCAACAGAAATTGCCACTTTTGCAGGTCTCAAGGATCTCATTTTCCTGCGCGGGTTGCTCTGAACGTTTGGTTTTACTGGACACGCGCCGCCCAAAGCGTGCTCCAGCTTGTGCCCTTGGTCCCGGCTGCGAGCATCTTGACCAGAACGCTCCCCCATGTTTCCCCTTAGAACATCACGCCGAAGGACACTCACCTGGGCCAAAACGCAATGTTGAAAACCACAGCAAAAAGGAATGTAGGGGTCCTGGATATTATAGGGACCCTCGGCAAACCCTTGACACCCAAAACCAACCAGGGTAGGCATACACAATGCAAAATGTGACCTGGTCACTTAGCATTGGTTGTCTAAGGGTTGAGCATGCAAACTACACTCTAACTCGCCAATCGAGTGGATTGGCCAACACAAATACGTTAGTGTGTTTAGCATGGAAATTGCATTCATCACTTCCTAAGTGGATTGGCCAATACCACTAAAACGATCTTTCCAAAAGCTGCAAACCTCCCCGACATCCGCCTTTTCAGCTGGGGCCTCAGCAAGGGCGCTGGAGGGGCCCTCGCCCAACAACTTCTCCATGTCGGTGTTGCGGAACCAAAAGAGCTCCATGACCACCTCCTGAAACGTCTGAAGCTTCAGGAGGAGCCCGTCGTGCGCTTAAGAGAGACACTTTTTTTCCATGGGAAAAAAGGATCGGAGGGCATCCATTTGTTGGGGTTGGTTGAGTGTAAAGGGAACCCCTTTCACAAAAAGGGACAAAAGGGCGAATCCACTGGGAAACTGGGTGTTTGGCCGTCAGTCCTGATTTTGTTGTAAAATACACTCCCCCAATCGGATTGCTTGAACTTGCTGAGTGCCGAAATAGAGACCAGTCACAAAAACCCGGAACCCCTTCAAACCGCTCGGTTTGACCAAACCAGTCAGGTGATGTTCCTGTCGCCCGCAGCACGCTCGCAATGAGTGGAATTGCATGCGAGAGGTCACCTTGTCCAGGTTCGGGGTGGAGTTGGGGGTTTGATGATTGGAGCATATCCCAAGGTACCAGGACACCCTAAAGATCCCAAGAGTTGCAGCAAGGGCTTCATATGTGGCCGCCGAAAGGCTTTGTAACAGGGTGATACACCCAGTCAACCCAACCAAATGAAGGCTCGCAAGTGCATCACCCAATTTGGAATCTTTTCTTTGGGTGGAAGTGTTCGCTTCAAAGTCAACCAGCCCCAAAAACAATGTGTCCCCTGGCCACTCTAATTGGGGGGGGGGGGCGAAACAAACAAGCCAAACAAGCCAAGCTTGGTGCAACAAATCGGAGAGCCTCTTGAGCCCAGCATTGGTGGGTGTTCCAAACCGGTGCAGCTGATCGCCTTCAAAGGGGCAACACTGGACCGGTAGCGATACCGGGAACCCCAAACAAAAAAATAAAACTAAACATAAACATATTCAGGTCTCGTGTGGTTAGGCTTGGGGGGCTAGGTGCTTAACGTAAGCCATTAGAGCCAAACAAGGCCGCACTAAAGGCCGGGGTGTGATCGCGTTCGGGAGACAAGTATCCAAATCCCATCCCCATGCAGGCTTTTCCAAAAATATGAACCAGCCAAACCAACCAAAGGGGGGGCTCCCCTACCCCAAATCTCCAACATCAAGCTTTGAGGCAATCAAGCACCCCGCCCCCAACAAGGCGGCACCACATCAAACAACTCCCAGAGAAGAATTTCGACAATCTCCAAGAAAGGAGCAGACATGGGTGAGACGACAGGTGAGCTCCCAATACAATTAGTTTTCGGCGCTGAATCAGTGGACTTGGGACTGTCTGAACCAGGGCTGCTCTGAGGCCCAAAGACCCAAATTGTTGGTTCCTGAGGGGAAGAAAAGGACACCAAACAATTGTCTTGCTGGTTCTCAGTAGGGAATGAGGAAATGACCCTTTTGAACCATCCCTTGTGGTTTCCTTTTAGGGGACCCCTGGTTCATTCCCTAATTCCTTACTGAGCACCAGACCCTAGAGGACAATGGTCCAGACGGGCCTTGTCAGGTTCCATATTTGTGCCACAAAACGCGACTGGTAAGGCCTAAGGGCAAGAGTTCCTCTTGGGGTTTTGGGCTCCCTTGGGGTTTGGGGCAAGGGCGCGGGGGCGGGACGACTCGTCCTCCGCATTCTGCGGCGGAGGGTTGAAGTGCTCCGCCCTCAAAGCTCGGGATCGAGCCCGGAGGCGGAACATGGAAAAGGAAAGCCCAGCGAACACATGCGGATATAAGTGTATGTGAATATTTGCACATTAAATATATGTGATATCCATATAGATATAGTCAAGCCAATTGATCTGCATGCGCATAGCAAGGAATGCAAGCATACGGGTCTGTCAAAACCGCCTTACATTCATGACCCCAGAACAGAACATGTGGTGCTCAAGCCTTGCAACATAATTAGCGCCTCAAACCTGCACTAGGGGGGCCAACAGACTGTCGTCCAGGAAGCAATGTGAAATTAAGCCTTTTTCCAACCATTCTAGAGTATGTTTAGAAGGTTCATTCCCAAATCCCCATGAGCAAGGAGTTGGCAAGGAGGTTGACTCTCAGCTCTACCAAAAGTGTGGTGAATAGGCTCCACATGCCGATGCACAGCCACGGGCACAAACACACGCACACGCAACTCTCAATTGTGCATCTCAAAATAGGATTCGTTCCCTTTCTTGGGGTGGTAAGGGGAAACAATCGGAAACCAACCACGGACCTAGACAGATCCCTACTTTTTGAGATGGGATTTGTTCAAAGTGCCACTACAATGATTTCCTTTGGGTTTCTCATTGGGTTCACCAAATTTTGAAACCCCCGTCACATGCCTGCGGGTGTGTTCTGGTTTCCCACATATAATATAGCCCCTGCAGGGTCTCAGACCTGCTTCTGGATCTGAGCCTGTGTCACAGATCGCTAAATTTCCATGGAAAAACAGGGCTCTCTATCTTCCCCCCTGACAGTTTTAAGCATCACTCATCACTCGTTACAGTTTCAAGGCAGGGGTGAGGTTTGCAGGGAGAAGTATAGGGAAGTTGGAGCGCAGAGAAAATCCCAGTGATTCCAGTTACTTGTGTGGGTAACCAGGGTTTCTTAGCTCTAGGTTAAAATATCAGTAATTGCCCAGACCAATTCATGGTTACGGACAACGGCACGTTCTGTGATGCCAGAGTGGGTCGTCGCCATGGCTACTTTCTGAGTTCAAAATGAGTTCCAGGCCCCCAAACCATGTTGCGACTTGACAAGCCCTTCTTTCTGGGGCCCTACGGTGAAGCCGGGGTCTTGGAAAGTCTGGAGCGGCGATTTCGTTTTTCTGGAGTCCCCGTTTCACCATGACGACATCTCCGTTCTCTGGAGAGGGCGATTGCAACATTCTGAAGTTGGTTGTTTACGATCCCGCTTTCGAGGATCTCTTTCATGCGTGGATGGAAGTGCGGGTGCATGTGGAAAATGGCCAGTCGGTGAGGATTTTCGGCAGCAGGATGAGCCTCTCTGGACTTGCTTTGAGGGTCTTGTGGACGAACCAGACTGATTTTGCACGTGTTCGCTCCTTTTCGGCCAAGGGTCGTGCTTTGGATCGTCTTTGTCTGTCTTCGTTGTTTTCCGCTGCTCGCAGCGTGCCGCCGTCCAACTGTGAATAGCGCTTGCGGTGGCTGGTGTTTGGTGGCTGGGTGGTTTTGGTGCCGGGTCGGTCTGCGGTCGTTTTGCATGTGCCCGCAGGGTCCCTGTCAGCATGTGGTTAGCCGCGATTGACTTGTCGGCTGTTGGGAAAGAAAAAACGAGTCCCCGTTTGCCGCCCCGACTTTGCCGGGGAGCTCGACTGAAGGACCGTAAGCACCCCACTTTGGACAAAGCTACTGTGGCGCAAGGTCGTTGGGCTCGGGCCGCAACAATCGAACTTCGGAGGCTGGGGCTCATCCACTTCCCTTTGCCCTAAGTTCTCCAGCTTCCCCAAGTTCTCTAGCTTCCCCAAGTTTTCTAGGTTCTCTAGGTTCCCTCCCTAAGTTCCTGGCTTCCCTAGGTTCCCTAGCTTGGGGTTGGTCTGGTCTCGCTGGTCAGGCGGGACAGCTAGGGAAGTTGGGGACCCAAGGAACTCAGGGAACCCAGGGAACTGAAAGGAGACCAAGGGGCATGAAGGGACTGAAAGGGACTGAAGGGGCTGAAGGGGGTGCCCTTCCATTTTCTGCCAGCTCAGGCTCCCGGCGCCACGGTGCCCATAGAGTACACCTCAGCCCCGCCAACAGTGAGGCTTCGGGATCCTTTCTGTAGGCCCGGCCTTGAGTGACCCGGCCTTTCCGTGCGTGACGTGTGTTTCAGCGGCAAGCAAAAAGGGAAAACGGGGCGCCACTGACAAGACTGAACAACACGAGTTTCGCTCTGAACGCGGCGCTGGGCTCCGGACGGAAAACACGCCCCAGAGCATAATGATCAGCAGACCGATGGGCTCGGCAAAGGCCTTGGCACTGACAAAAACAAACCCAGCTGGTAGCTGGTAGGGTCCCTGAAAAACTAGTCCACCTTTTTGGGGAGGGGCTGGTTAGTAGAGTCCCTGAACTACTCGAATCTGGTTCCGGCTGTTGACACTGAGTTGAAACTGTTCCTAGAGAAGTTAGCACCAATATGACACTTAAGCCATAATTGAGGCTTTTTGTCCAATGCTCCCCCGCCTTGGATGGTTTTTGGCAGGTCAACACATGTTTGAGATTTTAGCAGGTACCGGCCCTGGCCAACCCCTGCGTTTGGGCTGTCCGCCCAAATTGACCGTTCCTAAACTAGTCATAGCGGATGGAAATCCCACTTCAAACGGCCAACAAAAACAGAGGACGGCCATTATTTGACTCCTAGGGGGAAGTTTCCACTTTAAGGCGGACCTTTTTTATCGTTTGGACTTCGAAACGATTAGGGTCCTTAGCTTCACTGAAAGTGATAGCAAAAACCAATTTCTCACAACCACGCTTCCCGCAAAGAGCATGGAAACTTGGGGTTCCCCGGCTTGCGGTTGATGCGGTTTGTCCCACTCTTGTCCCTCCGAAATGGACCTTAAACTACTGGATATTCTGACAAAAGATCAACTGTGGTTTCCCTCAAGACGCCATCCCAAAAGATGGGCTCCTATCTTTGGGCACGCACACATATTGTGCATAACCAGCCACGAACCAGGATCAATTGCGGAGACTTCCTTGTTCCCTGATAAATCTCAGAAGTGCCCTCTTGTTTGCTTTTTGCGGGACTCGCCTTAAACTGGCCGCAAGGGCGATGTTTCACAACCCAAAGCGGAAATGTAGGGAACCCTGAAAGTTTACGAGTCATTCTGTCAGCGCATTCCGCTCTTGGCCCTCGGCTGCGAACAAGGAGCCGCACACGCCGCAGGCCACGCACCTAAGGAGTGGTTGGGGTCTGGTCTAGATGCGATTCCGTGGGGCTGACTTGTTTTAAGGGGCTGGAGACTTGGGGTTGGTAGGATCAAGTGACGCCCGGCCCGCCCGCCGGCTCTCCCACCCACCCGCTCGCCCGCCCGTCCACCCGTCCACCCGCCGGCCGACAGATGCTTTTTCGACAAACCGCTCGTCCACCACAGCTCCTGTGACAGTGACAGACGGAACTAGCCGTGACAATCCCAGCCGGCCAAAGCTGGGTCCCACTGCTGCCCCAGCCGCCCGCTCTAGACAGCCGTAACAGCAGACGGCTGCCAGACGGACGGCCAGCGCCCGGAAAGACGGGCCAGACAGCCGCAGGAAGCTCATCCTGGCCGAAGCTTGGTGTGCCTAGCCGGACAGCCGCCGCAGGCCAAAGCCTAGGCCTAAGGCTCCCGCCAGTGGCCGGTCCAGGACAGCTGTGACAGGCCAAAGCTTGAGCAACGAAGAAGACCAGACCAACCTTTGAACTGCGCCGGGCGAGCTGTGCCCACACCTTCAGCTGCCGGGGCTGCAGCTGATGTGTCGCTTGCAAGAGCTTGGCCAGGAAGCGTGATTAAGATGACAGCTAAGGCTGCTATTGAGTAGGGGTCAACGCTGCCTTGCTTCCATTTTGGCTCGAGGAGTTTCTTCGATATCCTTCAACCCCAATTTTCGACGACCGTGACCATCCTTTTCACAACCCTGGCGTTTGCCCTGCGGTTTTCTAGAACTGGCGCCACAACCATGCCCTTCACTTGGCCACATCTGGGGTACACAGAAAATCATACTTTCACGTTCTGCTCCATGTTATAGACTTGCCTGAAAATAACAAAAGTTTTGGGGGGAGCCCAGTTCAGCCTCAGGGTCTTTCGGTCGAAAGGAGCTCTCGTGACTGAAAAGGCCAGCTGGATACGTCCTGAGTAGCTGGCAGGGCAATGTAGTCCTGGCCAGCGAGAGTACATGAGACGCACGTTTCTTTGTCAAATGGAGGCCCCAAAACTCACTTCCGAAGTCGAAACTGTTTAAATTGCAATGGACGTCGCCAAAAGTCGTCCTTCCCAAACAGTCTCAAGTCTTTCCTCACAAAGTCGAAACTTTTCTTTGAACCAATAGTTGGTTTCCGTTTGGTCTCTTTAAAGCCAACCAAAAAACCGGGTTCCGCAAGAGACCACTGCGAGCTAGGACATGAGAGTTGGGAAAGAGCCGCCCCAACCTGGCACTTGATGGGGCCTTGGTTTGGCCAAGTGGTTTGGATTGGAACTGAACATTTGAACTCCTGGCTCTTGTGGGTAAATGGGGTAAATGGGAAACTACCCCTTACCAACCAAACCACAATCTGAACCTGAAGATGTAAGCTCCTAGTCTAAGACTGCAACTGACCATTGGCTAGGAAGTATATACAGGTTTTCAACAATTTCCCCCGAACTGACAAGCGGAAAGGCTGGGGAACAGACGCATTGTTTGTTGTTGAAAAACAATCCGGATTCAAAACCAGTTCTGACCGATAACAAGCATAACTAGTTGCAAAGCAGGCAAAGCTGTACTATATAAAGGAATACAACAACCAATTCAATAGCAACACCAAAGATAACTTGTTGAAAAACCATCTTGGGGCCGACTGGCCAGAGTGATTGATACCTGTCCTGATAACTTTGTCCCTTCAAAGTAGGATCCCGCCGAACATGGCAATCAAAGGCATTGTTCCCACAGCCTCACCAAAAACTGGACTCCCTGGAACCAACAAGAAGCAGAACCAGCCACTTGGACCCCGCCATAGGGATGGTTCTCGAGAGCAGCAGCCAAAACCCATTATCTGTCGGTTCTACCTACCAACATGGATAGAAAGGTGACTACACCTTACTATAAACCACCATGATACTAAGTAGTAGCGTAGTGGAACCATCTTCTAAAATCACCACCAAATATTCGTTCACTCCTGAGAAGGGAATTGTCAGTCCAGGAACTGGGCAAGTCAAAGGCTCGTGTTTTAGAACCGACGCCGCTCGACCCCGAGAAAGCCCGGCGAATTCCGAAGCGCGAAGACAGGGCGTCGGATGCCTGGGACTTGTTGCCGAAAGGGTTGGCCGCATTCTCCACCACCGACTCATCCGGGTTCTGGTAAAAAATCACCTGATCCGAGCTGGCGGGGCCCCCGTTCAACTGGGAGGTACCGAGGTAGTGGCTCAAGGGAAGCAAAAGGCCAGCTCCATGAGCCGGGAGAGCAAGAAGGTGAAGTAAGGCCACATGAGGCCGCAATGGCTGGAGGACAGATTTTGTTTGTTCGGGAGGTTGCTAGTGCAACCAACAGGGGTTGAAGTCAGAACTCATCTGCAAATCAATTTCTACAGCAATTCCAACGCCTGAAACAAGGGATACCCAAGTAAAGGGCCTTTATCATGGTGCGCTCGTTTGGCAGGGGTCTCTGAAAATTAACGTGCAGCTCAACAATTGGGGTCCGCCGTTCCCTGAAATGGCTCTGGAAGTCCAAGACCATTTAAACAAAAGAAAACTATTCACCAGTTGCAGATCGTCCCCCAAAGACAAAACGTGGCGGTCAAATGGAAGATCCCAAAGGTTTCATGACAGTCTTTTCACGATCCAACCTCCCCCGGGTTTCCTCCAATTGCTCCAAATAAAACCTTAAGGCCACCTTTTCTGGGTCTTCTTTGGAGGAACCCGGACGGGGACGCCCAGCCCGCCCAGCCCGCCCTCAGCCCGCGCCTGCGAGGCCGCTGAGCTGAGAGCCACAAAACCCGCGCAGAGGCGAACCCAGAAGCTCAGCGACCTCCCAGTTGCGCAACGGCCGCGGGTCCCAGTTGCGGGGGTCCAAAATGGTCCAAATGTTGGGGTCGAAAAATAAAAAATATAAAATCTCTGGGGACTGGGGGCTTGACAAGCAAACACGGATGGCCCAGTGCGGCACAACAAAGAAAAACCTGACCGAGTTTCTGCGTCCAGTCCATAATGAGTCAACTTTGAAACACATGTTTGTGAGAGGGTGTCTCAGTTCATAGACCCCCGAATGTTTTGGCTTCTGAGTTGTAAACCCAGAAAACTCCCACGGAATCGAATTGGGGGGGGGCACCATTGAACAAACCAAACTGGGAGGGGGGGGGGGATTTTGGGGAACACAAATCATAGCATTTCGAACTGGGAGGGGATGGGGGACACCCTGGCTGATGATCCCATTCATTAAAAACAAAAAATCAAAAAACAATGCCGGCCCAGCAGTTGCCCAACGCCCGGTGACGCTTGGTTCTAATAAGATAGCGGGAAAGGTTTCCACAGCACTATCACATCCAACAACTAGGCACTGCGCAGGTCTTCCCTGACCCTAGAAAAACCTAACCCTTTTTGGGTACATCAAAGACCCACCGGACCACCTCGCGAACAGACCTCACCCAAGAGAATACAAAATGAAGGTGCCTGGAAGCTGGGCCTAAAAACAACTGAAGAATCGATCCCCTTTTGGTTCCCCAGGGAGTGGGGTAGAAACCATGAGATATTTGCACCCAGTCAGTGGATCAAATTGGGGGGGCCGGGCGAGTCGCCGATCCAAAGGTCTTCCAGGAACATCCTCAGTCACTGGACGTACCACTAGCAGTTTGAGGGGTGACCGGAAGCACCCATTTGCTTTGCAGGTGTGCCACCAACCAACCAACCAACCCACCCACCAACCCGCCCACCCACCCACCCACCCACCCACCAACCAAGCAACCAACCAAACCAGCGGACCAGCCCTAGAAAAAAAAAACAGCTCTAGGCGGAAAAAAGAAGAAGAAAAAAAAACACAACACCGGATCCCATTTGCAGGTGTGCCACCCGTACTGATTTCTTGGTCGCCAAAGGTCACCAAAAGCCAAAGATGTTCCATTTAACTCCAAGGAACCCCGCGGCGCTTGTGTCCTGTGGACTGAATTAGAACATCAGTCATTCCATTCCTTGCCTTCCAACCGGCCGAAAATAACATATGTGCAGATGGCTGGTTTCATATGTCAAGCTTCAAGAATATTGATTCATATGAATTAATCGACTCATATTGTCTACTTGGTTATTTGTTACCCGTTTAAGAAAGCAAACAACTGAAACAACAAGAAATCCCACGGCACCCGGGGGGGTTGCGGAGGAAAATTTCTGCGCGAGCGAGGGCCATCCAGAAACCCAAGCACGCGGCCAGGCGTAGGTCATCAAGTACGGCCTGTCAAAGGGGCCCCTGGTGTCCAATATGGGTGTTTTTCGTTTTATGAGGGTGCCCGGAGTCTCGAGGAGCCTGACAAAATGGGGTCATTTCCCTAAATAAGGGGTCATGACCCATCTTTCGAAATATCGTAGAAACACCCTTGTTGGGACTGGTTTGCAGGAAAACTGAAGGAGACACCATCAGTTTAGGGATCCCCAATTAGATACACCCATAGCAAGCGGCGGAAAATGGACATTAGATCCTCGTCACCATTAGTCACTGAGTGTCTGCCTGTCACTGTCCGTCACTGTCCATCTCTGTCCGTTTTCTGGCTGTCTCTGTCTGTCTCTGTCACTTCTCTGTCTGTCTCTGTCACTTCTCTGTCTGTCTCTGTCTGTCTCTGTCTGTCTCTGTCTATCTGTGTCTGTCTGTCTTCTGGTCTTTGTTGTTCTGGACTGGCTGGTTTGTTCTGTTGTTTGTTGGCTTGATGGTGCCGGTCTTTTTGAAGAAGCGTGTGAAAGCATGATGCGCGTGGCGGGTCTCCTTGTGATTTTCTTGTGGTGTCGCATGCCCAAAGCCGTTTAGAGAGCTTTACGTTTTTTCCCACGGCAGGGAGAAGGACAACGTCTGAGGCTACATTTCAACCAGACCCTGCGTTAAGGAAAATAAGTGGTGTTTGAACACTAGTGGACTGGCACCTTGCAAATTGACATGGACTCCCCCCAAAAGGGGTACGCAAGAGTTTCCTCTACAAATCAGAGGTTTTTCGGTTTAACGTTTAATCTGCACATGATCCTGTTGGCTTACCGTTAATCCCAAAAAGGGTAACCCCCCCCCCCCACCCCCCATCCACCGAAAGAATCGCCCAACCCTACCGAAAAACCCTGGTCCCGCCTGTCCGGATTCAGAGCCGAATCGCGAGGGGGGCAGGCAGGCAGGCAGGCAGGCAGGCAGGCAGACAGGCAAACAAACAAACAAACAAACAAACAAACAAACAGGCAGGGGCAAGCAGGCAAACAAACAAACAAACAAACAAACAAACAAACAAACACACAAGCAAGCACGCACGCCAGCAAGCAAGCCTCATCCTTACTTTTGCTCAGCTGCCACAGCCACCTCGCATAGTCTAACAAGATGTTCATCAATTTCTGCATTGACCCCTTTGCTGCTCAAAAGGCGGACAAGTACTACAACCCATACATATGATATACAACCAGGCATTAGAAGCACCTACAGTCGCCAAAACAGTTCTTGGGCATCGCTCATGTAGCTTGGCCAGCCAAGAATACTTGGAAGCCCTTGAACGCTCTCTCCACGCCAAGTCTTGGTTGCTTCCGTTCAAAGAAGCGCGTGCAACAAAAACAAAAAAGCACAACGCCTCCGCATCCGCTGTGAAATTTCGACAAATCTAGAAGGCCACAATGATTGCACACATTCCAACTCCATTCTAGTCCCACGTCCTGAGTGTCAGGACTAGCCAAAGAAGTCACCATCCGTTTCTCTGCCGCTAACATGGTGTTCCCCAAAAGACGACTGAAGTCCAAGGAAGTGAGTCATTTGGTCGGCCCTTCTAAAGCCTTAATTCCCGGGCGTCTTGCGGGCGAAGTCGGTTGATTCGCACGGCCCGCCCAAAAAAGGGGTAAAACAAAGAAGCCTGGCCCAACTTTGGGGTATAAAAACCAGATGTCCATGGATCATCCTTCATATGTTTATATCTGTACATGTATACTTATATGTGTATATGTTATATATAGAACCCTTGTGGATACCCCAGGAAGCTTGCTGGAGTTTGGGGCCTGCAACCAAGGGAGGCACACCCAGAACTTGGAATTGAAGTGCTCCGGCGGATGCCCTACATATTTCAAGCAGATCAACCTCACTCCACTCAACTCCAAAACCATGGTGGCAAACTACAGCAATTTAGGGAGCTCCCTTATTTCCCCAACTTGCAAGGGCATCCACCGACTATCAACAAGCACGCAAAGAATCAAGAGGGGGTCTTATTTTCTGGCTGCGACTGGCCCCAGACTTCAACCTAGGTTTTGACTGCGGGATACCTGCTTCTTAGGATCACAATGGAAGCCACCCTCCCGTAAGAAAATACAACTGGCCAAACGCGCAGGTGTACCAAGAATAAGATGTTCACACTCTGCCGTTTGTCTTTTCTACCCAATGTAAAACCATTTTAACGGAGACCCAAAGAGCTGGTTTCCTCCGAATAAGGCCTCACAATTAGACAAGTAGGTGGGGGAAAAGGGAAGCAAGAAGGCGGAGTTTGCATGAGCTGTTCCCCGGGAGCTGTCCAGATAAGTGGGGGTCTCCTTTTTGGGGAAAATCAAGCAAATATGTACCCTTCTTGGATGGGTTTATAAGGGAAAGCAACCTTTTTGGATGGAGTTTCACGGAAACCAACCCCTTTTTAGATGGTGTTTTAAGGGAAAGCCGGCCCTTTGTGGAACCCCCTAAGCCAAGAAACAACACGCTTTCGGGGCTTCCCTCGCAGCTCCGGGCGACCGACAACTCGAGGGCCAGGGCGCCCTAGGATCGCAAAGGCGAAGAAGATCTCCTGCCATCGCCAGAACATGGCCTCGGGCGAAAGGCGCGAGCCATCGGGCGCACCGGCGGGAGGCTTGACCCGTAGAACATGGAGTTAAGGATCTTATTCATGGCCTCGGTGATTCCCCCATTCTTTTCAACCATGGTTCTGTTCCCAACCCTGGGTTTTGAATGGCTTCCTGAAACCCTTTTGATTCCCCATGCGTTTCAACCATATGGTTCTTTTCAAAACCGATGGCTTTTTCCCCTGGGTTGTTGATGGTTTCTTGCACACCTCTGCTTTTGGGCTTTGTCATTTTTTTGGGCTTTTAATGGCTTTTTGACACACTTCTGGAGGATGGCCTTTGGGGTGTTCAACAGGACGGACAACTACCTGAGAAGGTACTTGGAACCGTAGAACATGGGCTGCCCTTTTTCAGAATCCAACAGTGCACACTTTAGAGCAGGGCTCTGTGCGACTTTTGTGATACCAAAGGGCAAAAAGGCCGGCATTTCCCACAGGCTCGATCGCCATATGGGAGGTTCCCTGCTTGGCAGCTTCTGTTTGGGTTCAAATTCAACCGGGGTTAGAAGTCCAAGTGGAATTATACACCTCCTACGTGGGGTTATCATCAAACCTCCGTGGGGTTGTACACCTTGGAGCTATACACCATAAGGTTTACTGGGTTGATAACCTTATCTATAACCACACTGAGGCGGCCAAGCAACATCACAGTGCAGAACATCCTGTCACTCCCGCAACACCGCACGCAGAAGGAACCATTTGACGTTTCGGCGGGAAACCACTCACTATTTCAACCACTTACGCTCCCGCAGATCGACATGGAACCAAGCAAAAACCGGGTCTAGAGGAATCTCGTTTTGGGGGAGTTGATGCAAATTTGCAGGGGACTAGTGGGAAAAACACTCACTCTCCCAAGCAGAGTAAGGTGAAAGACCCTACTAGGACTGCTAATCTCCTGCCAACTTATAGTTTGTGAGAACCTTCGGGCGAAAGGCACTGGGATTCCCTCCCTGAATGTGCCATGTGTGCCATTGTGTGCATAAAATGCCTTTCGTGCCATGTGTGCATAAAATGCTTCCTAACAGGCAGTCAAGACATGTTGGGGGTTGTTTCAATATCCGATAAAACACATGTCTTTTGGACCAGTGTTGGCCGTTTCCCAAAGACAGTAGTCCAAGCGTGCGTGAAAGGTGCAGAAGGCAGGGGGGCGAGCGAATGGAGCGACCACCCCCCCAAAAAAAAATGGTAAGGCATGTGGTTCTGTTCTTGTTTTGAATTGATAAGCCTTAGGAACCCATGGGTTCTTTGGGGAGATTGCGGCGTCCCTGAATTGCTTTGCCTTGGCGTGTATGCACCCATATCCGTTGGTGACGTCTTTGGGGGTGGTGTGTAGCATCCCCGGAATTCGGAATTGCAGATTCGGAGAGTTTGCGGCAGGAGATTGCGAACTTGGGTGATTTTCTTAGCAATCAATTTGCTGTTGTTCTCATGCTCAGTTGCCCAAAGCCGACCTTTTGACCTTTTGGCCTTCCAGTTTTGGTCCATATTTAGTCAAGGTTTCACCTCGGGTTCCTCTTCGTATTTCACATGAGCAGTGTTCTAAACCCAGTTGCGGCCGAAGAGAAATATCAAATCAATTGCGCGAAGGCTTCCGCGGAGCTTGCGTGGCGTGAAAGGTTCCTAAAATAAATCTCTTCCGCGTCGCTTCCACGGATTGAGAAACGGGATTGAAGTTTGCTTTCGCTTCCGCGCATGAAGGAAAACTACAATTTCGTGCTTTCGTGATTGAATCGTAGCCCTTCCGCAAAGCTTCCGCGAGTACATAATTGAGAAACCCCTTCCGCGAACCTCGCGTGGCGCTTCCGCGACCTGGGACAAGTCAACAGATTGAAAAACGATACTCCTCCCGAATGCTACTAAGTGCAGGGGTTTCAGAACGTCGCTTGCAAAGTTCCATGGCTCATGTTCAACGGACATGTTCCTGATTCTTCAGGCTCCTTCTCTCGTCTATCGCCATGTTTCCCCGTCTCTCTTTGGCCTACGGGTCAGGTTCCCTTGGCGATCGTTGAAGGGGAAATAACGGGAACCCTCTCTCTAGAAAGATTGACCGACCTTCCGGCGACATTGGTGGTTGCCAAAAATAAGCAGCAAGTCGGATGGAAGAGATTGGTTCTGGCCACTTCACAGAAAGCATGATTGAGGCTCAAACCAAGGAGGCTTTCCTTTCCCTCTTGTACCCCTTCAACATCACCCCATCACCCCTCCCAAAGGAAACTCCATCTATGATTTGCCCACAAGTTGATGTTCAAACCACCAAGAAGGGTACATACACTGGCCTCCGTATGAACCAGTCAATATATGCATTGCTCCCTCAATCGAACGGTGCACTCAGGTGCGACAATTTCACGTGCTAGTGGTAAAAAAAGGGGGTTTGGGCCATGGTGTCCCTTTTCTGGAGTCAATGCAAACGCATATTGTCCGCTGCTTTGAGTTCCCTTCAAACAAACTTCAACAAGAGTAATTACCCTGGATGCCTCAAAACACATCCTGCATTGGCACATGTTCAACTAACAAGTTAAAGCTTTAAGATCCAAATAGCAACCAAGATGCCATTAGGTTCTGGGGAGAGCGAGCCGCAACCGCCGCAACGGGATTGAGTCCGCGGCTGAACCGCCGATCGGACCGCGCCGTCCGGCTTGGCGGCTCGCCCGTAGAGCCGAGGGCCACTGATGGACTCAACACTTGCTTGTGGTTTCAAAGGGAAACAGGGATCCTTACGTTCACCTGAACAGTGCCTTGTAAATTGTGGTTTCCCTCTATTTTGGTGGAAAAAGCCATGTTTCAACTGGTTGCAAAATGCATCTTTTAAAGAGCCCTGGGAAACCAAGAGGAAAACAACTCATATTTGGGGTCCCTAACTAGACATAACCATATGTTTCTTCACAAACGCTAACGAAACAGAAACATTCCAAGGTCTAGACTGATCTTAGCAAATTGGAAACAAATAAACACCAACCGAAAGCAGGGGAACCAACAAGATAGGAACCTTCACCCTTGGGGGTCGCAACCCACGTCGCCATAATTTGGCCGGATTTGATGCCTTAGGTGAGCCCTAATACTTTGGGTCTTGGATCGCTCATGTGTTCTGAGTCGCTTCCTGAGTCAAGAACAGTCCAATCTGCTTGTGTCCCACCAAAGTACCCTTCAGCCGAAGGTCCTGAAGCTGAAGGGACCTTTTGTCAGGTTCGCTTGGTTCACGTATACGGCGTTGAATTCGGCAAGTTACGCTGCAGTTTCTTGACTTGAGATCCCCGAAGGAACTTTGGAGGTTTTCTTCCTTGGTTCATTGAGCGCGTTCTTCGTCCGGATCTACAGGTCTTTGAGGCTTCGGCGCAAGGGTTCCTACGCGTGCCTAAGCGACCCAGAAAGCGTCCCAGGGATACTTGCAGGGGGTCCCCTTAGGCATCATTTAAGCTTGGTTGCGCATTTGTTTTCTAGGTTGATGAGCACCCTTACAAAGCGCAAACAAGAGGCGTGGTTTTGACCATACCACATTTCTGCAACTTCTGCAATCATTTCCAACCTGAAATACGGTATCCCCAAGTAAGGGACCTACATCATAGCTCGGTTTACCCTCACATCGGTGAGCCCGAATCCCTTGAAATGGGCAGGCACCTACCTGGCAAGCTCTCTGGCGGTCAAAGTGGAAAATTTCATTGACCTCCCATACCCGACACAGCCCCAGCCTTTGGTGGGGCCAAATACGGCTACATACTACCACATACTACCTTCATAGTTGGGGCAGAGATCTTTGCAGGTCTTTTGCTCCTCAAAGTGTTTTTTTGTTCAAACTTGCTTTTGAGGAAAAATATAGCAGGCTCACTGAAAAAGGATCCTGTCCCCACGCGGGAGCGATGACCGGGCGCCATGTTTGCGCTGCGCCCACAGATAAATTTGAGTGCACCCGGGTTGGTTTGTGCTACGTTTGGCTGAGGGATTATCTTCAGGCAGCCTACCCCCAAAGGGTTAGGGGTTAACAAGACTTAAGTAGATGAAAAACAAGTCCGGGTAAGATTTATATATATACACACATACATATAATAAGGCGACATAAGTTCAAATAAGGCGCTAACAATTGGGGGGGTCTTTCAAGAAACCAACCCTGGTGCACCTGCAATGGTTGCGGAGCCTGACCACAACTTCACATCCCACGGATTTCGAGCAGGACTCGTTTGCGCCCCGGACGTTTGCTTCCTGATTTTGTTGGGTGGATTGCTCACAAAAGTCATACGTTGATGGTTTGGCCACTCACATGGTCTTCCCCAAAGCATCAGGCACTCCACAGAATCCATGAAGAGATGTAAACATTGGCCAAACGAGTAAACCGCTTGGACAAGTTGCACAGGCTTGCTGGCATGCCAAATGAAAGAAAGCCAATAAAAAGGCAACAAGCCTTTCTTGGTTGAAGTAATGTATGCTCATGTGTGTCGCTGTTTGTCTGTGTGTGTGTGCATGCATGCGTGCGTGCGTGCCTGTCTGCCTGCGTGCGTGCGAGTGCATATCGCGCGTTTGTTGGTGTGTGTGTGTGTGTGTCTGTTTCAGTGTCAGCGTGTCTGTGCATGGTTGTCTGTTTGTGTGTCTTTTGCGCTTCCCTACTCGCATATTTGCGTGTTCGTGTGTTTGCCTGCGTACATGTGTGTGTGTGTGTTGTGCGTGTGCGTGTGTGTGTGTGTGTGTTGGTGGTATGTATAAATATATATATATATATATATGCACGTGTGGTGTGTGTGTGTGTGCATGTGGATCTGCGTGTGTTGTGCGTGTCTGTGTTTCTGCCTGCATGCCTCTCTCTCTCTCTCTCTCTCTCTCTCTCTCTCTCTCTCTCTGTCTCCATCATGTGTGTCTCGGTGTGTGTGTGTGTTGCTGTGTTGTGTGTCCGTGAAGTTTGTGTCTTTGTGTGTGTGTGTGCCTGTGTGCGTGCGTCTGCGTCTGCGTGTGCGCGTGTGCGTGTGTGCGCGTGCGCGCGTGCGCGCGTGCGCGCGTGTGCGCGTGTGTGCGCGTGTGCGCGTGTGTGCGCGTGTGCGTGTGTGCGTGTGTGCGCGTGTGCGCGTGTGCGCGCGTGCGCGTGTGCGCGTGTGCGCGCGTGCGCGTGTGTGCGCGTGTGCGCGTGTGCGCGTGCGCGTGTAACGTGTGTGCGCGTGTGCGCGTGTGCGTGTGTGTGTGTGTGTGTGTGTGTGTGTGTGTGTGTGTGTGTGTGTGTGTGTGTGTGTGTGTGTGTGTGTGTGTGTGTGTGTGTGTGTGTGTGTGTGTGTGTGTGTGTGTGTGTGTGTGTGTGTGTGTGTGTGTGTGTGTGTGTGTGTGTGTGTGTGTGTGTGTGTGTGTGTGTGTGTGTGTGTGTGTGTGTGTGTGTGTGTGTGTGTGTTTGTGTGTGTGTGCGTGTGTGCGTGTGTGCGTGTGTGCGTGTGTGCGTGTGTGCGTGTGTGCGTGCGGTCGTGCGGTCGTGCGTGCGTGCGTGCGGGCGGGCGGGCGGGCGGGCGGGCGGGCGTGGGTGCGCGGGTGCGTGCGTGCGCAGGTGCGCGGGTGCGCAGGTGCGTGGGTGTGTGTGTGTGTGTGTCTGTGTGTCTGTTTGTGTCTGTGTGTGTCTGTGTGTGTGTCTGTGTGTGTGTCTGTGTGTGTCTGTGTGTGTCTGTGTATGTCTGTGTGTGTGTGTGTCTGTGTGTGTGTCTGTGTGTGTGTGTGTCTGTGTGTGTGTCTGTGCGTGTGCGACAGTGTGTTGTGTCTGTGTGCGCGCGCGTGTTTTCCTGTCTTGTGTGCGTGTGGCTGTGTATTTTGAGCGTGAAGCTATTCGTGAGATCATGAGCATTCGGACATGCAGCTGGGACACAAGTTTTGGTACTGGTACTCATACTCGGAGATCTGAAAGGATACACTTCCCCCCTATCCCATACTATGGCATGAAGGCAAGGAACGCCCTTTGCTTGAGTGGTATCACCAGCTCCATAGCTCCTTTAAATCCCATACCACAAAGGCCATCGAATCCTCCTGCTCTCAATCCAAACCTATCTGCGCTACCCAAGTATCTGCTGCCGGTCTTGTCCGGAGGGCTGTCATTCGACAGCCACAGCTAAACATCGTAGCGTAAAGGAACGTCGCATTTGCAAGAACTGGCTGCCAAGGCAGGTTGACTGCCTCACAAGCCAGCTAAAATGCGGCTTCCAAGGGACCCAACCCAAAACACCAGAGTTCGAGGGTTCAAGCATCTACCCTCAGGTGTTGGGTCCCTGACTGCGTCAGAACTCCTGACAGTTTAATGAAGATCTGTCAGTCCAGTTTGAATAATAAATAATAAGCACGTTTGTCTTCTGACAGGGAACCCACAAAATGTGTTTTTTGTTTGGCTTCCATCCAAAACGGGTGGCCTCAAAAAGTTAGTCATATGCACATGAATACTTTACAATAATGCTGCCAGATGCAACACCCACCTGTTTAATACCGGTAGGATTTGGCCACACCGTTGAGGTCTTATACGTAGGCATCCCATTTGGAGACTGACCAATTTTCCACTATCGAATCACCACCCAGGCAACAAAAAGCGCTAAAGTTTGGAGTTGAAGTGGTGAGTCACAAATAACAGAACCTAAGGCCCCCACACAAAAGGTTCTTAGTTCTCAAAACGGGGTTCTTCGAAGGGTTTTGGGAACCCTCTGAATTTGGGGGACCCTAATATCTCTCCCTGTCAACAAATAGGGAACGCCCGAAAAAGGGTGGTTGAATCTTGGTTTGCATTCAAAACAAGCACCAAAGGGCTACCAATCTAACTACTCTCAATCAGTTTGGCAATGGCGTCAGTCAGGATCATGTGCAATTGAGACCATTCAGGTTCTCGTGACTCGTGCCTCAATTTGAGATGAGTCAATCAAGCATCGCCGGATTTGTAGCGGCCGAAGGACTTTTCATTCGCACAGGCGCCGTGAGCAAACGACATGACTTGGCCCACATCTGGGGTGTACACAGAAAACGACATCTCAGATTATGTCTCATACTTAGTCCAACATGAAAACTAGTTCTTGATGGTGCCATTTTATGTTGACAGTTTCCGGGCTGCATGAAAGTTAGCAATTGGGGTTTCTGGGGGGAGGTTGGTAATTTAAGGGGCTAAATAAAGTAACTATATGTGCGCACACACACAATTCTCTGATGAGCGATCGATACTGTCAAATCATGTTGGCCGATAAAAACTCCCTCACAAAAGCAACCTGAATGGACATAAAGAACATCAAGTCAAGCTCCCTTGGCTTTGCAAACCTCTTTCAGGTTCCACGCTTCAGGGCGAACCGCATGATAAGCGTTTGGAAAGGAGGGTGCTCAGGACAGAATCCCAAACCCCCGGAACTTTCCCCCTGTTTGCCCGAGCGAGCCATACGTTCGGGTCTGGCCGAAGGATTTTCGGGCGTGGTCCCGAGAAATCTTGGATTCGGACGGATCCAGAACCGTCGGATGCGGGTGGCGGGGGGACCAGAGTGTTTCAGGCGAAAAAGCCCTCGGGAAAAAAACAATTCTCCCTAGCTACCTCAAGAGAAAAACCAGGCACAATTGGGTCAGCTGATGTTTAAACTGGTGCTAAGGGAAATATAGGGACTCCCTGTATATAACTGGTCTGTTGTGCAAAAGGAGTCCAGGGTCTCCTTCCCCATTCCATGGCCTTGGTACTCACAGGGTCTTCGTGGC